AGAACTCTGGTTCTCCAAATCAGCATTTTCATTCTAGTTCCCCAGAAGCAGGTGAGACGCAATGTACCAACAAGCTCTTGCTAACTCCGGCTTCACAACACAGGAGCCAAGAGCCAAACGTTTCTCCATTTTCCAAGAAGGTGAAAGAACTGATATCAGCGTTTGAAGAGTTTTTCAAAGCCTGTGGGTTTGTGCTTTTTATTTTTATTTTTGCTTTTTTTGGGTCACACCTGGCAATGCATAGGAGTTACTCCTGGCTTTGCACTCAGGAATTACCCCTGGCGGTGCTCAGGGGACCATATGGGATGCTGGGAATTGAACCTGGGTTCGACTGGCCGCGTGCAAGGCAAACACCCTCCCGCTGTGCTATTGCTCCAGCCCCCGCTTTTTATTTTTTTTAAGGTAAATATTGCAAAGTATTAATTAAATGTTCTTCTTCATAGAAAAAGTTTGTCAACTCTGTCTGCTGGAAGTAAGATGCCCCCTCACATACCAAAACAGTCAAAGACACAAAAGTAGCTAGATGAGGACATGAAAATGTGGCCTGACAAAAAAGAAGGCCTTTCCTGGTGTAGGAAACTGAGCACAGCCAGGAATAATTCCTGAGTGCAGAGCCAGGAGTAACCCCTGAGCATCGCTGGGTGTGACCCCACCCTTCTGCCCCACCCCCCCAAAAAAAAGCAAAAAAAAAAAGAAAGAAAGAAAGAAAGAAAGAAAGAAGGAAAAAAAAAAAGAAAACAGAAAATTCAAAACACCTGTGCAGAGGGCGGAGAGACAGTACAGCAGGCGTTGTTTTCCATGCAGCCCACCTGGGTTTGATTCCTGGCAGCCCCTCTGGTCCCCTGAGCCCTGCCAGGAGTGATCCCTGAGTGTAGAGCCAGGAGTAAGCCCTGAGGCAAAGCTGGGTGTGGCTACAAAACCAAAAAAATGAAGAAGAAAAAAACAAAAACCCATGGGCAGGAATGCAAATTAAATCACAGGGTTACACTGTGGAATGTAGTGGAAGCTTAAAAAAAAAAAAAACAAACTCAGCCTGGGTGGTCACTTGAAGTTTGCTGGGGAAGAAAATGGACAATTCAATATGAACAAGATGAAATAACAAAACTAAGAGAAATATTCTAATTTTACACACGGAAGGAGAAACTCAGAATGTAAGGACACATGATGAAAACTAAGAATTAAGAATTCTTAAGAAATGGGGGGCCTGGTGCTGCCAGCAGGTCAACCTGTACCCTCAGGGCAAGTGCATCAGGATCCTGATGTTGCTGGCAGACCTCCTGATACTCCCAAAATTGCCTCTGGCCAGACCCCAACAACTCAGGACCAAGATTCCTGAGAAATCAAATGGCCAAAAGTTAGGTATGTGAGAGTCCCGCCCACAAACCACTTCCAGCTCAACCATCCAGGCTCATTTATTGGCCTTGCTTCAGAGACCCAGAAATATCTCAAAAGACATCAAAAGCTGCAGTTAATCTTGGGCCCAGCACAAGGCTGAACAGTCCGGGGTAAGTCGGAGGGGGTAGTTCAGCTTGGTGCCCACCCAAGCAGAGCCCCTGTTAGCCACTTGCTTCCACAATCCAAAATTGCCCCCTGCCCCCGGCCGGACTCCACTATCTCTGGACAACCTCACCGAGATATCACTGTCACTGTCACTGTTCTCCTGTTGTTCATCAATTTGCTCGAGCGGGCCCAGTAACGTCTCCATTTTGAGACTTGTTGTTACTGTGTTTGGCATATCGAATACGTCACGGGGAGCTTGCCAGGCTTTGCCGTGCGGGTGAGATACTCTCGGTAGCTTGCCGGGCTCTTCGAGAGGGGTGGAGGAATCGAACCCGGCTCGGCTGGGCTGGCTGTGCTCAAGGCAAACGCCCTACCGGCTGTGCTATCGCTCCAGCCCACCGAGAAATAATCTGCTGACAATTCAGGTATATGGGTTTTGTGATTGAAACCACAGGCTTTCTCGTGGCCTGGATGGGCTACCTCCCTCTACTTCTGAAGCCTCAGCAATCACAATCACACCCCACGCTACCATCCAGTTAAAAAAGCTACTCCAGGGGCTGGAGCTATAGCACATCGGGTAGGATGTTTGCCTTGCACGCAGCCGACCCGGGTTCGATTCCCAGCATCCCATATGGTCCCCTGAGCACCGCCAGGAGTAACTCCTGAGTGCAGAACCAGCAGTAACCCCTGTGCAATGCCAGGTGTGACCCAAAAAGAAAAAAAAAAAAGTCTGGGACTAACCCTGAAAGAGATGCCAGGCCCATGAAGCTCCCGGGCACACCAGTCTTTGGCCAGACTCTGGGCCTTCTTGAGCAGGTGGGGGCAGCCCCCTTCTCATTCTCCTCCCCTACCCCCGCCACCCCAACCCCCGCACAGCGCCCGCATATGGCCCAGATCCACTGCCAACCTTCAGAGATGCCAAGCCAAAGAATCGTCCCAGCTGTACACCTCCAAATTCCACAAAACGGACAGCCCAGCAAGAGCACAGCAAATCAGATGGGAAAGTATAAATTCTATGGGAAAACTGAAGACCGCTAGGCTCAATTAAAAAAAAAAAAGTGACTAACAACACACAACTCACAAAATCCTCAGACACTGACTTTAGTAACGCCACCACACTGTATCACTCTCAACCTGTTGTTCGTCGATTGCCTCGAGCAGGCCCCAGTAACGTCTCCTTTGTCCTAGCCCTGAGATTTGAAAAGTGCCACATTTGAGACTCTATCAGAGTCAGGAGAACGAGAACCATCATTGTTACTGGTTTTTGGCATATTGAATACGCCACGGGGAGTTTGCCAGACTCTGCCGTGTGGGCAGGATACTTCCGGTAGCCTGCCGGGTTCTCCAGAGTAAGAACTAGATAGTAAGATGTCTCTCTCTCTCTCTATATATATATATATAACTAGATAACAAGATAACAAGATGTAACTAGATAATAAGGGTAACACCACCATGAGATATAATTTTCACAGATTTTCTTTTACTGAACTTTTTTTTTGTTTGTTTTTGCTTTCTGGGTCACACCCGGCAATGTGTCACACATTCAGGGGTTCGTCCTGGCTCTGCACTCAGGAATTACTCCTGGTTCTGCTTGGAGGACCAAATGAGATGCTAGGCATTAGACCTGGTTGGCCGCGTACAAGGCAAACGCCCTCCCTCCCTGCTGTACTATCGCTCCGGCCTCTACTGAACTATTTCTTGATGATTTCATTTACCATTTTGTAATAACAAGCAACATAACCTAGTTGGGGTGGGGGCGGGGTGATAGCACAGTGGGGAGGGTATTTGCCTGGCAGGAGACCAACCAGGATTGGATCCCCGGCATCCCATATGATCCCCTGAGCACAGGGAAGAGGAATGAGCGCTAAGCACTGCCAGATACGGCACAAAACCAAAAATAAATAAAATAAGTAAGTGTGTGCCCACTAAGGGGGCAGGCGTGGGCAGGTGGTGGAGAATTGGGGGCAATGATGGAGAGGTCACACTGGTGGTGGGATTGGTCCGAAATAACTGTATTATGAACAACTTTATAAACTATGGTGTAGAGATACAGATGCATGTAGAATTAAAGATCCGGTTGATTGTATTAAATGAGCATCAGAAAGGTACTCAAAAGTAGGCAAAAAAAAAAAAAAAAAGTAGGCAAAAGCCTACTGCCAGGCACTGATGTCTTTTAAAAAATAAATACTCTCCCCGCCCTTCCCCCCATGGAGAACCCAAGCTGCTGCCCACGAATGAGCCCTCTGGCAGCTGATCAAGCTGCTTATCGGCCATGATCCCTGAGACTCAGAAACACAGCTTGGAACCCAGTGGCTTTTGGCAGAAATCCCTCCAGATTTAGTTATTAAAACTTCAGAATTTCAAAATCACTCGCCCGTGTCATCATATGCAATTCATAATCAGAAATAGAAAACAAATTGTCTACAGTTGCCTTTTCAGCGGATCTGAGTGTTGGGGCAAAATCCCAAATAATAATGGTGGGTCTGGTGTCGAAACATTGACATTGAATTTAATCAAAGTAGAGAGAGAGTAACGTGGAAATCATCTGCCCCACAGATGGGGGAGGGATGGGGGGTATTCTGGGGTTTTTGGTGGTGGAAAATGTGTACTGGTGAAGGGGCAGGTGTTTCATCGCTGTATGACCGAGACTTAAACTGAAAACTTTGTAACTTCTCTCATGGTATTTCAATTAAAAATAAATAAATGAATAAATTAAATAAATAACCTAGGTTTTCCCAACCTATTTTAGACCTATTTTCACTATACCACAAGGTATTTGTTATTAAACATTTATTAAATAAAGGCAGATCATAGACTCATAATATAGGCAACTAGGCAACCTTACCATTTATGAAAAAGAAGAATTAAGTTGTTTTTTGTTTTTTTTAGGCCAATGTCTTTTTTTTTTTTCTTTTTGCTTTTTGGGTCACACCCAGTGATGCTCACGGGTTCCTCCTGGCTCATGCACTCAGGAATCACTCCTGGCGGTGCTCGGGGGACCATATGGGATGCTGGGAATCGAACCTGTGTTGGCCATGTTGGCTGCGTGCAAGGCAAACGCCCTACCCGCTGTGTTATCGCTCCAGCCCCTAGGCCAATGTCTTAACCAAGATTTCCCCCCTCTGGTTATTGTCTGACTACATTAATAAAGACGCAGTTTATATTTTTATTAACTTCTAACACTCTTCTAGTCACTCATACGTGTGATTCTTTCACTGTGATTCCTACTGATGTTTTTGTTGAAAATATATATTTTTTTTTGCTTTTTTTGGTCACACCCGGCAATGCTCAGGAGTTATTCCTGGGTCTGAACTCAGGAATTACTCCTGGCGGAGCTCGGGGGACCATATAGGATGCTGGGAATCGAACCCGGGTTGGCCGCGTGCAAGGCAAATGCCCTCCCCGCTGTGTTATCGCTCCAGCCCTGAAAATAATTCTTGATAAAAAGAAATGAATGGAAATCCTAAAAAAACAAAACAAAACAAAACAAAAACCTTCACCAGATGTTTAAATCAAAGTGCTCCGTTTTAATGTGCAGATGTCGTGTAGGTTCAAGAGGAATTTAAAAATACTTTTTAAGGAATAACAACTTCAGGTAGGCAATCGTGAGGAAGATGACGATCATGCAGGCCAAGGCCACGTGATTCTGCCACAGGCCCCACGGGGAGATGTCGATGCCCTGGTTTTCCAGAAACTCTTCTCCGGTGCATCTGAAAGGCAGCGGGAAAAAGTTACGACGGCCTTCTCAGTGCCTGTCTGACTTTACCCAGCACATGCCCTGTTCCTGAGCTTACGAAGTCACGCCACCAGTCTTTCGTAAGTTCTCCTTTACAGGGAGAGCAAACAGCAGGCAAGTCCCCATGCTCCTGCAGATACTGTGCCCAGCGCCCTGGAAGCGACCCAGACAGCGAGGGCAGCAGGGAGGCCGTTGGCCTGGCAGATGGCCAATCCAGGCTCAATCTGAGTTGGCTGGGGGTGATCTCTGAGCACAAAGCCAGGAGTAATCCCTGAGCACTGAAGGGCAAAGCTCGCAAACCCAACCTCAGCCCGCAACCCAAATACTACGAGTCTCCTGTAAGGGGCTTGGAAAACAATGAACAGAGGAGAAGCATCTGTCCAGCTTCAGTGCAAGTGAGTCCACAGCCGTGCTTCCGGGAGCAAGGGGAGGAATTTTGCATGAGTGTGTAAGAACTGACTCAAGGACGAGGAACAGCCCAGAGGGGTCGGGTCCCCGCCTCGGGGCACTTACGTTGCGTAGCTACAAGTGTTGTTGATGGTGCTGTTCAGTCCGGGGCAGAAGTTCTGTCCTAGGAACTCATTATGCTGCAGCGCCTGTAACACATGGGAGTGGACACGGTCACTCGCCTGCAAGTTCAGAAACTGCCCCAAGAATCCGCACAGCCGGGGCTGGAGCGATAGCACAGCGGGGAAGTCTTCTTCCTTGGAGACCCGGGTTCGATTCCCAGCATCCCATAGGGTTCCCCCGAGCACCGCCAGCAGTAATTCCTGAGTGCAGAACCAGGAGGAACTCCTGAGCATCGCTGGGTGTGACCCAAAAAAGATTAAAAAAAAAAAAAAAAGCAAAAGAATTCGCAGGACCGCACCCTGAGCTTTCGCCTTCATTATTATTTCTGAAAACAAAGGAAACTTCAGGTTCACAGAGTCACACAGGAAGCAAGTGAGATTCTTTCCTCGGGCTTCCAATGCAAAGCCAGTATTCAGTCAGGAAGGATGCCTCGGGCCTTGGGCACAGCACCTTCCCCGCTGCTCACTGCCGCGTTCCACAGCCCTCTCCACACACCCTTCAGCTGACAAGCGCGACTCAATCAACCTTATTAATTAAAAGTAGCATTTCTGGGGTCTTAGCAATAGTGCAGCAGGTAGGGTGTTGGCCTAGACAACAATTCCATCCCTGGCGTCCCAAAGGGTCTCTTGAGTACCCCCGGGGTATCCCCGAGCGCAGAGCCAAGAGTGACCACTGAGCATCGCCAGGTGTGGCCCGCAAACAAAAATAAGTAAAATTAAAAATAAAAGGTAGCAATCCCTTGTATTGTTTTTGTTCCCACCCAAACCAGTAACAATTATTGGCAGGCCAGATAGTCAGTAATCAAACAGTTTTCTTTGGGATCCATTCACTTTCCATAGCACTGTGTTTCGTGGTCACTGTTTTTCTTCCGATTTCCTGCTTAGAATAGACGCTTCCTAAGCTCCTCCCCGCTCACTTATTTCCTCTAAAGCCCAAACACAACTCCAGTGCTTCTCTTCATCAATTGGCCGGTCCTTCTCCTCCCAACCCTGCCTGCCCTCCAACGTGACCCTTCACCGCCCTCCAATGTGACCCTTCACCTCCTTCAAAGGTGACCCTTCACCTCCCTCCAACCAGGCCCCAGGAGGCGATTCGATTCTCTGGGCGCTGCCAGGACCCAGGAGAAATCCTCTGGATCCAGGGCCAGGAAGATGTGCTGACGCCTCAGCACATCAGACTCAGCACTGTGTCTACTGCGGGCGCTTCCGAGCAGAGCAGCCCTGGGTGGTCGGAGGGTGATGGAGGGAGACTCACCGCATAGCCGTAGCGAGGGATGCTCAGGTACTGAATCCACGAGAGCCACGGCACCACGGTCCTGAGGTTCACCAAGAGCCCTGAGAAGATCTGAAAGAAGCCAACAAGAGCAGCGCTGGTGGGAGGCTGCCTGGAGGCACCGTCCCAGACAGGAGCCCGCACCTAGGCTTCCCGGAGACCCCTCGGGGCTCTCCAAGACACTGTCTAACCCTCCCCAGCCAGGCCCGGCTTTCCCAGGCTGGGTGCAGGCGCGGGGCTCACATGGACACGAGGTGCCACCGGCAGAGCCTCTGCCGCCTTCCTGACCTCAGAAACATTTTATTTTTAGAGTGAAAACATTATACATGTTATAGCATGCTTTTGCAAACCAAATATTAAAATTAATATTTAATTTTGAACATATTCTTTTTCTTTCTTTCTTTCTTTTTTTTTTTTTGCTTTTTTGGGTCACACCCAGAGATGCTCAGGGGTTACTCCTGGCTCTGCACTCAAGAGTTACTCCTGGTGGTGCTCAGGGGACCCTATAGGATGCCGGAGATCAAACCCGGGTTGGCCACTTGCAAGGCAAAAGCCCTACCTGCTGTGCTATTGCTCCAGCCCCCATATTCTTAATTCTCCATGCATACTTCTGAATATCTAAGCTACATGTTAAATAGCTGAATACATTCTACTCACACTTCTGATCTTTAAACACCAACAGTCTATTAATATAGCTTTTACTATAGTGTGTACTGTCCACAGAACAAATTTGGATAGAGGTTTCAGGTAGATTTTGACGCTCACTTTAAGAGTACCAATCATTAACTATGTTTGCATTTATTCACAAACACTGATTCAATTTGTTATTTATGCTAAAATAAACATTTTCTTTAAAAATGAAAGTGAAAGTGTATTAAAGTGGCTTAACTTATAGAGTAAGTTTTCTTCCTATCTGTTTCTCAGACAATTATCACAATATCTAAGTCTGCTTTTCAATGATTTGTTCCATCATTGCTGCCAGAAATTTATGACCTTAGAAACATTTTAAAGTTAAAGCTTAGGGACTTGGATAGCACAGCGGGGAAGGCATTTGCCTTGCACGCGGCCAACCCGGGTTCAATTCCCAGCATCCTATAGGGTCCCCTGAGCACCGCCAGGAATAATTCCTGAGTGCATGTGCCAGGATAACATCTGAGCATCGCCGGGTGTGACAACTCCCCACCAAAAAAGGGGGTGGAGGGTGGGAGGGAAGCCAAGTTCTGGTTTCTGAAATTCCAACCTATCCAAGGTTTGCTCCATGTCCCCAAGAAGCAGCCCCTACAGTCCCCGTGTGAGGGACCTGAGCGGGGGTGCAGCAGGGTGGACACTTGTCCCAAAGGCCAAGGACCCAGGTTTGGTGGCAGCATCACGGAGTGCTCCCGGGACGGCCAGGAGTGAGGGCCAGAGCACAGTCACGAGGAGAGGGGTTGGGTGCCCCAGGGGACAGGCAGGGACGGGAAGGAAACAGGGACTTTGGTGGAGTGAAGTGACACTGGTGGTGTTGGAACAGCAAATGCTGTCACAACTATATCATGTTTTTTTGGTGGTGGTGGTGGATTTTTTTTTTTTTTTGCTTTTTTGGGTCACACCCAGTGATGCTCAGGGGCTACTCCTGGCTCTGAACTCAGGAATTACTCCTGGCGGTGCTCGGGGGACCATAAGGGATGCTGGGAATCGAACCCGGGCTGGCTGCGTGCAAGGCAAACAAACGCCCTCCCAGCTGTCCTATTGCTCCGGCCCCTATCATAACTATATTATAAACCACTTTCTCGATCACGGTGTTTCTAATAAGACTCAACATAAAACAAAACCCAAACCTAAATAAAAGAAAGCTTACAGGGGCTGGAGCGATAGCACAGCGGGGAGGGCGTTTGCCTTACACGCAGCTGACCCAGGTTCGATTCCCAGCATCCCATATGTTCATCGATCTGCTCCCGCGGGCCCAGTAACATCTCCATTTTTTTGAGACTTGTTGTTACTGTGCTTGGCATCTCAAATATGTCATGGGGAGCTTGCCAGGCTTTGCAGGCGAGAAACTCCCTGCAGCTTGCCGGGCTCTCCGAGAGGGGCGGAAAAATCGAACCAACCCGGGTTCTGAGCACTGCCAGGAGTAATCTCCGAGTGCAGAGCCAGGAGTAACCCCTGAGCATCGCTGGGTGTGACCCCAAAAAAGAAAAAAGAAAAAAAAAAAGAAAAAAGAAAGCTTACAGGTGACAGCAGGCTGGAGTGATAGCACAGCGGTAGGGCATTTGCCTTGCATTCGGCCCACCCAGCCGACCGGGGTTCGATTTCTCCGCCCCTCTCGGAGAGCCCGGCAAGCTGCAGAGAGTATCTCGCCTGCAAAGCCTGGCAAGCTCCCCGTGACATATTTGAGATGCCAAGCACAGTAACAACAAGTCTCAAAAAAATGGAGACGTTACTGGGCCCGCGGGAGCAGATCGATGAACAACGGGAGGACAGTGCGGTGCTGCTGCGGGTGACGGCCCAGGAGTCACAGGCCGTGAGCTAGAACAGCAGTGGGAGCCAGGGCAGGCCCAGGCCAGCAGGCTCGTCCCTGGTGAGGGCAGCAGCCTCCTTGGCGCTTGGTCCATGCGACAGTGGACACCAGCCCTGGGGGCAGCGGGCCAAGCACCTCCAGAGCGGAATAGCCCCACTCACCATCATGAACACGAAGGAGATGGTCATGAGCAGCGTGGCGATGGACACGACGCTCTGGCCGGCCGCGATGGCCAGGGCCATGGAGCTGGCCGCGTAGGCCACCATGATCAGGGTGAACATCATGATGAAGAAGGACGCGGCCACCGGCTTCAGCCCTGAGTCAACGAGACAGGGAGGGTCAGCGCGGGGGACAGACTGGACGTTCGGGTCCAGCCACCACCCGAGCGGCCTCCCTTCCTCCCTCCATCTTGGGTGACGTCTAGGGCACATGCGCTGGCCCAGTGAGACCCCTGCTCCCTCGGTTGTGATGTCCAAGGGTCCCAAGAGCCTAGGGCAGAGACCGCGGTCAGCACAGCACACCAGAACCCCTGGCCGAGTGACCGGGCTTGCTGTCTGGGGGCCAACCAGGCGGTGCTCAGGGCTCACTCCTGACGGGGATCAGGGAACCCTCGGGGTGCCAAGGGCAGAACCCAGGTCAGCCGCGAGCCAGCAAGCGCCCACCCCACTGGACTAGGCTCCGATCCCTTGTGTTTTATTGTTTGTTTTCTTTTTGGGTCCCACCCGGCAATGCACAGGGATTTACTCCTGGCTCTGCACTCAGGAACTGCTCCTGGCGGTGCTCGGGGAACCATATGGAATGCCAGGAATCGAACCCGGGTTGGCAGTGTGCAAGGCAAACGCCCTCCCCGCTGTGCTATCGCTCCAGCCCCGCTTGTGAGTTGTTAATGGCCCAAACACCCCCAAATCGGGGCCTCCTGGGGCCCCTCTGTTCCTCCCCCTTGTACACCTGTAAATACATAAAGGACAGCCGTGTGGGCCGAGTGACGCTTCGGCACAGGCCAGGACTGCTGTGCTGGTGGCAGAGGGTCCCAGCGCAAGGCTAAGCTCCCTCCCAGAACCACAGGACACCTGGAGACCGTCTGGGCCATGGCTGAACCCACTGTCCCAGCGACACGGGCACACAGGGAGGGCGGAGGATACCCCACCCCAGCTCCGCCAGCGGTCTGCAGGAGACGAGAAAGGGCTGTCCTATCGGAGACGGGCCATGGAGGAGGGGACTGCCCAGCACCAGGCACCCAAACTTGATCCCCAGCCCTGGCCAGGTCCCTCCAGGAGTGACCACTGAGCACCGCGCCAAATGCAGTTCAGCCTCCTGTAAAAAAATTCCTTCCAGACCTGCACAAGTCATAGAACTCCTCCACTCAGGCCCGTTTCAAAGCCCCTTTAAAAGTGAGGGTTGGGGGGGATGGAGTCATAGCACAGTGGGGAGGGCGCCTGCCTCGCACGCAGCTAACCTGGGGTCATTTCTCAGCACCCCAGAGGGTCCCCGAAGCACACCGGGAGTGTGGCAAACCCAGGAGTAAGCCCCGAGCACAGCCCCCAAGCCCCCAAAAGAAAGTGAAAGTGAGGGTGGGTGTGCTGTGCTTGTCCCCATTAGCACGAAACAGGAAAGAAAAAGCAAAATAAGTCAACTTGGGCTGGGACAGGGACGAACAGACACGTCCTGGAGAGCAGGGACTTCACGAGCATGATGGCTATATGGTTCCAGGCCTTACGGAGAGCCCTCCCTGGCTGTGGCTTATAACTCGCGGAGGGTAAACAGGCTTGCCAAAAAAAAAAAAAGAAAGAAAGAAAAGAGAGAAAGAGGGAATGGAGCAATAGCACAGCAGGTAGGGAGTTTGCCTTGCATGTGGCAAGGCCCGGGTTCGATTTCCAGCATCCCATAGGGTCCCCCGAGCACCACCAGGAGTAATTCCTGAGTGCAGAGGCAGGAATAACCCCTGAGCATCACCAGGTGTGACCCAAAAAGTAAAAAAAAAAAAGGAAAGAGAGAAAGAAGAAGAGCGATAGAGAGAGAAAGAAACCCAGGCTAACTTACTACCTATATTGCAAACCATTAACACCCAAAAGGAGAGAGAGAGTAAGAGGGAATGTGTCTGGGGCTGGAGCAATACCACAGCGGGGAGGGCGTTGCCTTGCACGCGGCTGACCCGGGTTCGATTCCCTGGCATCCCATAGGGTCCCCCGAGCACCACCAGGAGTGATTCCTGAGTGCTGAGCTAGGAGGAACCCCTGAGCATCTCCAAAAAGCAAATATAGACTAGGGGCTGGAGCAATAGCACAGCGGGTAGGGCGTTTGCCTTGCATGCGGCTGACCTGGGTTCGATTCCCAGCATCCCATATGGTTCCCTGAGCATTACCAGGTGTGACCCAAAATGTGAAAAAAAAAGGGGGGGTAAGAGAGGAATAAGAGGAGGAGGAGGAGGAGGAAGAAGAAGAAGAAGAAGAAGAAGAAGAAGAAGAAGAAGAAGAAGAAGAAGAAGAAGAGGAGGAGGAGGAGGAGGAGGAGGAGGAGGAGGAGGAAGAAGAAGAAGAAGAGGAAGAAGAGGAGAAACCCTGACTGATTTACTACCTATATTGCAAACTGTAACACCCAAAAGGAGAGAGAGAGAGTAAGAGGGAATGTGCCTGCCACAGAGGCAGGGGGAGGGAAGGGATGGGGGTGGGGCGTGGCAGGAGGGATCCTGGGTAGGATCATGGGTGGCGGAGAATGGGCGCGGGTGGAGGGACGGGTACTTGAGCACCGTACAACCGGAAACGTAATCACAAAAAACTTGTAAGGCGGTAACTGCATGCCGCGGTGATGCATGAAGCAGCAGTCCTGGCTCCTCCCCACCCACCCCCCACCCCAGCCGGCCGCTCACCCAGCAGGAAGTACGTGATGCAGGTGAAGATGATACTCGGCAGCATGCGCATGGGCAGCAGGTCCGACAGCAGCTTCCCGAAGAAGTAGGACGAGACGCGGTAGTAGCCGCTGATGTACTCGTGTCTGCAACGCCAGAGCCCGCGGCAGCTCAGCCGGGCCCCGGCCAGCTCCAGGGGACGCCCCCCCCCCCCCCCAGGCCCCGACTGCCCAGCCACCCGCGCCCCAAGGACAGACACTCACTCACATGAAGAGCTTTTTCTCCACCACGAAGAGCTCCACGGCCGACACGCTGCTGAAGCACTGGTTGGTGGTGAGGAAGAAGAGCACCCCCGCCCTGTGGGAGGAGGGAGAGGCTGCCGTCAGGAGGCACCTCTGGCGTTGCAGGGCGTGCCCCCAGGGCCCGCTCTCAAGGTGGCGGCCAGTTGGGTGCCACTGGGTCAAGCTCTCTCGAGGCAGGGACGCTCACGCGTCAATGCTTTGTTTCTGGGGGCTGGAGCGACAGCACAGCGGGGAGGGCGTTTGCCTTGCACGCGGCTGACCCGGGTTCGATTCCCAGCATCCCATGTGGTCCCCTGAGCACCACCAGGAGCAATTCCTGAATGCATGAGCCAGGAGTAACCCCTGTGCATTGCCGGATGTGACCCAAAAAGAAAAAAAAAAAAAAAGCTTTGTTTCTGGGCTAACGGCAGGATGCTTTGCTCAGAAATCTCTCCCAGCTGGTGCTCGAGGAATGGTGGGGACCAAGTGGGGTGGTGGGGAAGAACCAAGGGCAAGCGTCCGGCCCGCTGAATGACCGCCCTGGCCCCAAGAAAGCTCAGACTCTGTCCACCCTGCAGGACAAAGCCCAGCTCTGAAACGTGAAGTGCATCTCTGCACCGTCGGCCGGTCTGGGTTCTGGTCGTGGACACTCATGACAGGACATGGGCGCAACGAGACTGGCCGCCTTTGATTTTAACCGACATCAATTTCCGAGTACCGTTCCAGCCCGGGAACAGAGAAAGCGGCCGTGCAAAGCCTTGAGCGGGGCTGGAGCGGCTGCACGGCGAGGAGGGCATCTGCTTTGCACGCGGCTGACCGGGTTCGATGATCCCCTGCATTCCACATGTGCTCCCCGAGCACTGCCAGGAGTGATTCCTGAGTGCAGAGCCAAGAGGAACCCCTGTGCATCGCTGTTGTGACCCAAAAAGGAAAAAAAAAAAGGAAGGGTCCACACACACAGTAAATGTTTCTCTCCGTTTAGGGAAGCAGCTGTTAGAAGTGAATGTTTACTTCATTAATTAATGACTGAAAAGACCCGGCCCTACTGAGAAGCTCCTTTGTGAATTCCTGTCACCAAGCCAGCAGCAACCCAGCACAGCTGCCAAGTCCCTTTTCTTTTTCTTCTTTGTTTTTGGGGGGGGAGGGGTCACACCCAGAGATGCTCAGGGCTCAGAGATTACTCCTGGCCCTGCACTCAGGAATTACTCCTGACGGTGCTCGGGGGACCATATGGGATGTTGGGAATCGAACCGGGGTCGGCCACGTGCAAGGCAAAAGTCCTCCCAGCTGTGCTATCGCTCCAGCCCCTAAGCCTTGACTCAAAGACTGCGGGAGGACAGAGGCAGCTCACGGCTGAGCCCACGGCTTTCATGCAGAGGGCCTGGAGTTGATCCCTGAGCACTGCTGGGCGTGGCCCCAGCGCCCGGCCAAGTGTGATTCTCCCCAAACAACTCATTAATGGTTTATTCCTGGCTCTGCACTCAGGGGTCACTCCTGGCGGGTGAGGGGAACCATGTAGAGCGCGGGGGGGGTCGAACCCGGGCCGGCATCTTACAAGGTAAACGCTCTACTCACTGTACTATCGCTTCTGCCCCATCACAGTTTTTATTGGTAAAGCACCTAATATATTCTAATTCTATTCAGAGTAGTAATATGTATCTATGTATCAATAGCTATGATATCCAAATATTTTAAAATACCTTTTCTCTTAATACCTGTTATCACAGGGCTGGAGCGATAGCACAGCGAGTAGGGCATTTGCCTTGCATGCAGCGGACCCGGTCGACCCGAGTTCGATTCCTCCGCCCCTCTTGGAGAGCCTGGCAAGCTACCGAGAGTATCTCGCCCACATGGCAAAACCTGGCAAGCTCCCCGAGATGCCAAACACAGTAACAACAAGTCTCACAATGTTACCGGGCCGGCTCGAGCAAATCGATGAACAACGGGAGGACAGTGACAGTGACAGTGACCGTGACCTATTATCAACACAAGCCCAAAGGAACATTTAGGTCAAAGCTCTAGGACAGTTAAAGTCCCAGCTGGTCCCTCACCAGGCTGAAGAAAGTCAGTGTCCTGCTCTGCAGAGAATTAAAGACCCAGCCCGTCCCACCAGGCTGGAGAAGCCCGACTTAGCATCATCCATTCCCAAGACAGACACAACCACTGCCCCTGATGAAGTTCAAATGAATGGGAAAATGACAGCAAGACCAGGTCAAGAACCATCGATCCAGGGTCGAGGAGATGGTCGGAGAATCCCCAACACCCCCCACGAGGCACCCCGGTACCACCAGGGGGTCTGTCCCGAGCACAGAGCCAGAACAGAAGCAGCCCTGAGCACTGCTGGGTGTGGCCCCAAACCACACACACACACACACACACACACACACACACACACACACACTTTTAAAAACAAAACCCAAAGTTTTAAAACCCAATGCACTAGTTCTACAGATGAAACGGTGGAGGCCCTCTTCTCTCTCCTGTTCTGGGACCAACCCTGGCAGTGCTCAGGCTTACTCTGGGATGCCCAGGGGACCCTATGGGGTGCCGGAGAGTGAGCCCGGGTTGGCTGTGGGCCGGGACACACCCTACCCTCTGTGCTGTCGCTCCGGCCCAGCACTCTCATCTCTCTTCCAGAGAGTTCTGCCAAGAGCACGACAGCACCAGTGTGCAGGTGCTCCTCTGCATGCTGAGGACAGGCTCCCCAGCCCGACAGAGGAGGCAGCCACCACGCTCTAGGCTGGGGGCACGCACACGGCCCCTGACAGGCTCACAGCCTCATTTCCAAGCAGTCATGAGGCTCGGAAAAGGGCTGGAGTAGTCGCCTGGACAGAGGAACGCGGGCTCACGGGGGAACAGGCGTGCACACTTCCTGCTGCCTTGGTTTCCCCGACGTCAGAACTGATCCAATCTCAGTGGCAACACCGTAGGCTGACAAGGGGCAGTGTCAGGCCCCTCGCGTAGGACGGGAGCCTCCGCGGGGCACAGTAAGGGAGGGCTCGGGGCCAGGCCTACGGGTGCGAGGGCCCAGCAGTGCGGGGCCTGATGCTCCGACCGTGCTCGCCATCGAACAATATTCCTCGAGCTGATTTAACGGGAGCCCCATTGCACGACATCACGTGCATTTCAAGTGCCATTATAAATCATGTTCACCGCCATAAACCCGCGGTGCACGAGAGGCCTTGATGTCCCCATCCGTTCTGCTAATCATTAATTTGGGCTTACAGCCAAAAAAAAAAAAAAAAAACCCTGCCTTTGTTTAATTTTGCTCTCTCATTTGATGACAGGGCAGATTATAAGCTTATCTAGATAAGGTCAACGAAAACAGATGCAAGTTATATGACAGACACACAGTCCCGTCTACCGCCCCAACACAAATTTTAAACCTTTCTGAGGCTAGAGCGACAGCACAGTGGGGAGGACACTCGCCTTGACGAGGCCGACCCAGGATCAAACCCTGGCACCCAGGTGTAATTCCTGAGGGCAGAGAGAGCCAGGAGGAAGCCCTAAGCACTGCCAGGTATGCCCCTTTCCAATATTTATTTATTTATTTATTTATTTGCTTTTTGGGTTACACCCGGCGATGCACAGGGGTTCCTCCTGGCTCTGCACTCAGGAATTGCCCCTGGCGGTGCTCAGGGGACCTTATGGGATTCTGGGAATTGAACCTGGGCCGGCCACATGCAAGGCAAACGCCCTATTGCTCCAGCCTCACCAATCTTAATTTTTATTACTTTCAAACTTTCAACTATCAAGAGTGAGAAAAAGAAGTAGCAGGGAAAAAAATCGCAAATATCGTCTATGTAATATTGTAATATCCAGAATACATAACAAACTCTTACAGCTCCACAATTTAAGAAGATCCTGCAGCTGCAGTGACAGTGCAGCGGGGAGGGCATTTGCCTTGTGGGTTCGATTCCCAGCATCCCATATGGTCCCCCGAACCAATTACCACCAGGAGTAATTCCTGAGTGCAGAGCCAGGAGGAACCCCTGAGCATTGCTGGGTGTGACCCAAAAAACAAACAAAAACAAACAAAAAAACCTAAAACTGAAAAGGATTACCAAACGATCCTGCAATTCCACTTCTGGTGATATGCCTGAGAGAATTTATTTATCTGTTTATGTTTAATAATTGGGGGAGATGAGCCAAGTGTGAGATTTGATTATATTATTTGAGAAGGGGCTGAGAGATGCCTGGTGGTATCTGGAGGCTATTCCCGGCTCTGTGCTCAGAAGCAAGCCTGATGGTGCCCGTATGGATCCGGTCAGGCACAGCCAGGCAAATGCTGACCCCCAATACTACCTCTCTGACACCAAGCCCAAAGGCCCTCAAGGCAGAGGCCCCAAACATCTCTATGAGGAAACCCATATTCACAGCATCCAAGCTGGGACCCCTGGCCGGGCTGTGCCCCTGGGCAGATGCAGAGATAGAGAGAACGTGGCCTGGCCACACACTGGCCACCTGCAACTCCCTTCCCTGAAATGAAAGCGACTCTGACACTTGCTCTAACAGAGCCGGACCTGAGGGTCTGGTGAAAAGGGGAATAAATCAGTGACTGGCACTCAGTTGCGACCCGATCGGCATCCCGGGAACATTCAAAGGGCAGAATCGGGACTTCCAGGAGGCCAAGGAGAGGCAGAATGAGCTCCACTGGGCACAGGAAATGAGTCTGGGCAGAGCTAGTGGACGCTAGTGACCAAACAGGATGGCTGTACAGAATGCCCCTGACCTGGGGAACAGGAAGCGGCTTCAAGCTGGTGTGTGTGTATGTGTGTGTGTGTGTGACCTCCCTGTGTGTGCGTATGCGTGTGCACTTGTGTGTGTGTGTGTGTGTGAGCGCGTACGTGTGAAAATTAACTCTTCCATTCATCTCTCAGTTCAGTACTCAATTTTCCCCGTACAGGTCAAATTCTCCACTCCTGTTGGTTCTGATCCACATAGCACCTGCTCAAAGCCCCTCTGAACAGGGTTCGGGACTTTATTTTGCTTGTTAGTCGCTACTGCTTATGTTGTGCTCTGGGAAGAACACGGGAAGAGTCAGATTTTTTTTTTTCTATTTTGGCTTTTGGGCCCCACCCGGCGATGCTCAGGGGTTGCTCCTGGCTCTGCACCCCAGAATCCCTGCCGTGGTGCTTGGGGACCCTGTGGGATGCTGAAGATCGAACCTGGCCGGGCCGTGTGCTGGGCAATGGACTATCCCTCCGTGCCAGCAGGATGCCAATTCTCAAGGTAGTTTCCCATGCTCGAAGAGAATGGGAGCACGTCCTCTAGAGGCAGCTACCGAGTACTCACCTATTCTGGATTCCTGTCGGGTCATTCTTCAGATCGTAGAAAATGGCCCCTACAACCAGTCCCAGGATGATGGTGACGATGATCTTTTCAAACGGAAGAAAAGAGTCTTATTAGTGGTCATGCACATCACCCCATTTATTCCTCTGATGGACATGCCTGAATGCTTGGCGTCACCACTGAGAACTGTCGCCTCTGCCGAGCGCCTGCCAGGACATCCAACAACCCTAGGGACCCACACGGTCACTCCATCCCGTTCCCAAAGCCAGTGGAAAAGACGGTTGGACTGTGCATTAGAACCGAGCAGAGCGCTGGGCTCACTAAACCTCCTGCCCAGGGTTCGGGCCTGGCCCCCTCTGTCCAGTTGGGGGTCCCGGGACTGGGGGGGCGGAGGGGTCGCGTCTCAAAGGGCAGGGCTGGGCACACTCCCAGCAAAGCAGCTCGGCCCACGAAAGCAAGGGTGGCCCCACCTTGGGGCTGCGGATGCACGCTACGCCCAGTTTGGTATTTCGGGGAGTTCGAAGAAAAACAGGATATCTTTACTCTCAGCATTCACAGCGAATAAAAACAAATAAGCCTTGAAGAGCACACAGGGAAAAATCGCAACAATGGGATTTCACACACAGAGGAAGCAGGGGCGAGGCGTGCGCTCCCAGCCCGCTCGGCAAAAGTGCACTGTCACTGCCGCCAAACCCAGGGCTGAGTCCTGTCCCCTGCAGCCTCTGAGCCACCAGCGCAGAGAACGACGCTGCCCGGTGTCCGCAGGGCTGCCTGCCTTCACCTGCGGGTCTACTTTAAGGTCCCTAAGAAGATGATCAGCCGCTGCTACGGCTCACGTAAAGGACACAGCTTTAGGACTAGGGGGTTATCTGACGCTGACACTTAGACGCGGAAACTCTGCAAACTCTTCTTTCATGCCGAATTACACAAAGCCAAGAAATGGTCATCTAAAGAGAAGAAAGTAAGGGCCGGACGGAGTCCTTGTCCAGCAGGGAGGGCACTTGCCTTGCATGCTGTTGACTTGGGATCTATCTCCTGGCACCTCACAGGGTCCCCTAAGCCCAGCCAGGAGTGATCCCTGAGTGCAGAGCCAGGAGTCAACTCTGAGCACTGAGAGTGTGACCCCCAAATCAAAAAAGGGAACAAAGGCTAATTTAGTAACATCCCAGACCAAAATAATTTGGTCCAGCCAACAGTTTCAGGCCACCAAGACCAAGTGACACGGTGAGGGCACTTTGGGCCGGAAAGAAACCAAAGTGGAAAGAGGGATGATCATTTGTGAAAAATGGGTTTGTGAGTACGAGGGTCTGGCATACGAGAGCCTGAGGCTGCAAAAACTTGCCAGAGACACCGAATTGGGTTAAGGTAACCTACAGCTGGCCTACACGAGTTGACACCGGTTCAATTCCTGCCATCACAGGGCCCAGCACAGAGCCAGGAATAGGCCCAGCGCACACCCCACCCCAAGCCCCAAATATCCCCCAAATCGTCTTGCTAAAAGACAGGGATGTGACGGGAAAGTCTGCTTCCAGGCGTGTTTCGATGACTCCTGGGACATACTGTACTCGATGTCAACAGATCAAACTGCCACCATGAATTATCATTCCATAAACACGCATGCAGGTGCATAGACCGGAGCCTGCACTTTCACCACTTGGAGAATATTTCGGGTCCAGAGAAAGAGCCTGACAGGGAAGAGCACGTGACCTGCAGGCAGGTGAACCAGGGTTCAAACTCGGGCACACCCTCTCCACCCTCCCGCCTCCCCAGCCCGGCAGAAGCAGCCCCGGGCGCCACAGGGAGTGGCCCCGCACCAAATTTAAAGAAATATTTTGACTTCGTGAACTGGAAACTTCACCTGTTTTTGTTTTTAAACTTGATATCTAACACGAAGAGACTGTCAATATTATCATGAGGGTGTTACTCAGTGCTCCCCCAAACTGTGGACGGCTATGGAAAGTCAAACACACTAACGAAATAATCTACTCTGGGGGCTGGCGTGATAGCACAGCGGGGAGGGCGTTTGCCTTGCACGTGGCCAACCCGGGTTCCAACATCCCATATGGTCCCCCGAGCACCAGGGTGATTCCTGAGTGCAGAGCCACGAGTAACCCCTGTGCATTGCAGGGTGTGACCCAAAAAGAAAAAAAAATTAACATAAAAAAATAAAAGAATACTACTCCTATAAATCCCAACAGACTTATATTCAATAGTAGCACCTAAGAATAAAGTTTTATTGAAACACGGTACTTACTATTCATAGACCCATGACAGCTTTCCTGACTATAATGGGACAAGACCACATGACCTAGGAGACTTAAAATAGGTTCCACCGGCCCGTTACAAAAAAAAAAAAACAAAGTTGGCTTATTTCTGCTAAGCTGACAAGTCGGTCTTGATAAATCTGAACAGAACAGGAGTTGTCCCAAGGCCGGCGCCCAGGGACGTGCAAGGTTCTGCCTTCGTGCTGTGTGACTCCCCGGCGCTAGCACTTTCTGGGCAACTGAGTTCACCGAGGAGTGCCAGGCCGGAGACCTGCCTCAGAAACAGGCCTCCCAGCAGAATGAATCATGTCGTGCTAAGTACCTCTCCTCAGTCGTGCCCCGCCCCAGAGAGCCACGCACGGGACCTGTGGACCAGCACTTGATAAACCACTTACGGAGGCAAGAGGAATCGGAAGCGTTCTCCAAATAAACAAAGCTACATCAACTCCAAGCAAGCACCAAACTCCAGGGGCCGGAGAGCTGAGGTAGAGCAGCTCAGGTGTTTCCCACATGGCTCCCTGAGCACCACCACGAGTGATTCCTGAGTGCAGAGCCAGGAGTAACGCCGGACCATCGCCAGGTGTGGCCCCAAACAAACAACCCAACTCGAGTACATCCCCTCACTCTCGAACTTGACTGGCCTTAACCTCCTGCCTCGTCTCCAAAGGCTTGTCCTCTAAAATAAACACGGACCTGGGACTGATCAATACACACAGGAGCACCCATGGGCCGAGGGGAGCACCTAGCAAGAACCAAAGGTGTTGGGAGCAATGAGCACCACTGAACCCGGGAAGCAGCGCTCAGGGTCAACACCCAGAGGCCACGGTCCCGAGCGAGCATGAGGGTGTTAACAGGGACACACCCGCCGCCACGGTGCTCCTGGGAAGTCAGGCATGTTTCAGGAATGCCTGGGACACCGTGTCCTCCTTAGCACCCAACAGCAAAGCGCATGTCTGTGCACCAAGCCCAGAGCTCCGGCAGCACGGGAGAGACAGGGCAAGGAAGGGGACCCGGGGGGTCTGTGTGGCAGGGGACTGAAGAGGAACGACCCAAACCAGGCGTAGAGGAGAACACCCGTGACTCCCAGAGACATCCACAGTGCAACAGGGGTCAGCCTTGTCTGCCAGTGGGCAGTCAGCTTCCCGGCACCGAGAGCTCGCTCAGAGTTGAACCCCCCAAAGGGTCCCTGGCAGACCCTCGTCCTCACCCTGCCCCGTCCTGCAGACAGGACGTGCTCACAGCCCTTGAAGGCTGCGGACCCCAGATATAGGATGCAGACCAGCCCCCTCCTGCACACACAGATAATGAGATTATCTGACATGCACCATTAACTTCTTTCCTTTGTTTTCTTTTGGTTTGGGGGCCACAACCAGTGATGTTCAGGGCTGACTCCTGGCTGAGCGCAAGAACCACTCCTGGCAGTGCTCAGAGGACCACGTGGGATGCCGGGGACCGAACCGGGGTGGGCTGCGTGCAAGGCAAACGCCCTCCCTGGACGCCTCACTCCACTCACCCTATGGACTCACCGTCCTGGAGGGCAGGTGTTTCCCCTAGCCCCGCAGGACCTTGTCCACCATGCCTGCAAGCCCTCCCCCTCTGCACGGGGATCAGTAGGAACCTGAGGGGCCCGTAAAGGAACGCGGCTTCCAGAAAACCCCCCACACAGCGCCAACACTCCTCTCAAAACAAAACAATAAGAAGGCCGGATTTTTGGATCTGCGCCCTTCTCGCTGGCACGAGCTACGCCGGTGTTGGCAGCTCAAGAAGCTTCGGTCACCGACACAATGGGCTGCTGGCGGCTCCCAGAACAGAACCTGCAGATCCCAGAAGAACAGAGTCCGTGCAAACGGAGTGGGTGGCAGGGCGGGTCAGGAAAGGGACGTGCAGGCTGGTCGCTCACATGTGTATGTGTGCGTGAGAGTGTATGTGTATGTGGTGGACCGTGTGTGTGTATGTGTGTGTATGTGTATGTGTGTGGTGGTGGTGCTGGTGTGTGTGTGGTGGTGGTGCTGGTGTGTGTGTGTGAGTGTGAGTGTGAGTGTGTGGTGGTGCTGGTGTATGTGTGAGTATGTGTGTGTGTGGTGGTGGTGCTGGTGTGTGTGAGTGTGTGTGGTGGAGTGTGTGTATGTGTGTGAGAGCGTCTGTGTGTGTGTATGTGTGTGGTGGTGGTGCTGGTGTGTGTGTGTGAGTGTGAGTGTGTGTGTGGTGGTGCTGGTGTATGTGTGAGTGTGTGTGTGGTGGTGGTGCTGGTGTGTGTGAGTGTGTGTGGTGGAGTGTGTGTGTATGTGTGTGGTGGTAGTGATGGTGGTGCGTGTGTGTGGTGGAGTGCTTATGTGTGTGAGTGTGTATATGTCTGGTTGTGGTGGTGGTGTGGGGGTGTGTGTGGTGTGTGTGGTGGAGTGTTTGTGAGTGTGTATGTGTGTGATAGTAGTGTGTGTGGTGGAGTATTTGTGTGTGTGTGATGCAGTGTGTGTATGTGCGTGTATTTGAGTGTGAGTATGTATGTGTGTATGTGTGTGTGGTGGAGTGTGTGTATGTGAGTGTATATGTGTGTGGTGGTGGTGCTAGTGTGTGTGTGGTGGAGTGTGAGTGTATGTGAGAGTATGTGTGTGTGGTGGTGGCGCTGGTGTGTGAGTGTGTGTGTGGTGGTGGTGCTGGTGTGTGTGTGTGAGTGTGAGTGTGAGTGTGTGGTGGTGCTGGTGTGTGGCGGAGTGTGTCCGTGTGCGTGTGCTGAGAGCCGAGGGCGGGGCGCAGGTGGCGGGGGCGTCCGGGTACCTGCGCGATGGAGGCCTGGGGGTTGCCCAGGAGGTTCTTGAAGGAGCGGCTGGAGATCCAGCGGAGCTGGTGGCAGAAGGAGGTGGCGTAGGCGCTGTCCCTGTGCTCGGCGCCCTTCTTCTTCCGCCGCTGGTCCCCCGCCAGCTGCTGCAGCCCGGCCTGCGTCTCCCGGAAGAAGCCGGAGCGGGCGTAGAAGCCGGCCAGCTCCTCGATGCGCGGGGTGCCCTTCCTGGACGGCTCGTCCGCAGCCTCGGCTGGGGGGGAGGAAGTTTTACACGCCAGAAAACGAGTCTTCCCCTCCGACTCGAACGTGAAGCTGCCAGGCACAGAACGGCGACCCCATCCCGGCCGCACGCTCAGACAAGGGGAGGGAGATGCGGCCAACGGCCCACCCCTGCCCATGAGCGTCGAGGCCGCGGCTGGCCCTTCCCTGCCGGCATCAAGCTGACTTGGATTCTCCTTTTAAAACTTTCTGCGTCTGTGGTTTGGGTTTTCGTGCTCAGCCGGTGCTCAGGGGACCATATGGGATGCTGGGAATCGAACCCGGGTCAGCCGCGTGCAAGGCAAACGCCCTCCCCGCTGTGCTATCACTCCAGCCCTGTTAATTATTTTTTAACACTACATCCAGCTGTGCTGTGGTAGGCAGGAGGGACTCGGGGGACCCTGGATGCAGGGGATGTGACCTCGGCCCCCCTCATGCCAAGTACGTGCCCCAGACTCTGAGCCCTCTCCCGCTCTCCCCCAGGGTCATGAAGCCAGACTTCCCACCAAAGAGATTTCATGATCCCTGACGGAAAACTCCGTGCTGTGCTTTTGTGCAAATTGCAAGGTTTCCTTTTTCAGAATCTCCTATGAACAATGAGCACATTTGCTGGGTCTTTTTTTTTCTTTCTGATTTTATTTGTTGTTTCTGGGGCACCTCCAGGGGTGCTCAGGGCTTTACTCCTGGTGGGCACAGGGGACCACATGGGGTGCCAGGAATCAAACCTGGATCGGCCACACGCAAGGCAAAGCCCTACCCACTGGACTATAGCTCCAGCCCCCGAGTGCGAGTCTAAACTGGACACCGAGAGCCAGAGTGATAGGACAGCGAGCGGGTACCACTTTCTTTGCACACGGCCGACCTGGGTTCGATCCCTGGCACCTGATAGGGTCCCCAGGGCCACCAGGAGTGATTCTGAAGTGCAGAGCCAGAAGTAAGCCCTGAGCATCGCCAAACTTTTTGTTACTCAAAACAAACCAAGATTTTAAAATGTACAATGGACGCTGAGAACCGTGACTGCTAGATAATTGATGCTTGTTTGTAAATTAAATCGGAAGCAGAGCAGGGCAACCCAATCTGTGAGGACGAGTGCTCCAGACAGAACGTTCATGTACCCCTGCGCCAGTGACGGGCTCAACCCCGCTGTCCACTGTGACGGCATCTGCGGGAGGGTGGCGGGGCCCCGGGAAGGGGTCAGTCCCCTACACAGGAGCTGTCCTGCCCCACACCCCGGGGGAGGTCCAGTGGGTTAAGTGGGGCCTTGGCAGACACAAAACCTGCTAGTGTCTGGCCCCTGAGCCCTGGGCCAGCCCTCACTACAGCATCCAAGTGCCCCAAGACCAGTGCTCTCTCCCCGTGGCCTCCGTGTCCACACACCTGGGCTGCCGTCCTCATCCCTGTTGAGTACCACGGCGGACGAGTCCCCGTTGATGACGTCCAGGAAGAAGTCTGCGGGGTTGTTGTAGGACTCGCAGTGGTAGCCTACGAGAGAGGGTCAAGGGAGAGACAGGGGCTCACTCTCGGGCCATGGGGGACAGGGGGACAGAGCCGCCACTCGGGCCTTGTCATTTCCTCCCCTCCCCCCTCACTAATCTGCCCTTCCTTGTCTCCCTCGGACAATCACAGTCCACACTTCAGCCTGTGGGGAATCGCAACCCACAGCCCCTCACGGCCCTACATTAGCCCGGTCTCTGCTGCCACAAGGCATGAGACACCACAGGCAAGACCCGCGGGCCTGGCTGCTTAGCAGAATGGCTTTTTTAGAATCTCTAAATAGGGGCCGGAGCAATAGCACAGCGGGTAGGGCATTTGCCTTGCACGCGGCCGACCCGGGTTCAATCCCCGGCATCCCATATGGTCCCCCCGAGCACCGCCAGGAGTAATTCCTGAGTGCGGAGCCAGGAGGAACCCCTGAGCCTCGCCGGGTGTGATCCAAAAAGAAAAAAAAATCTAAAAATAAGGCTGGAGCAATAGTACAGTGGGTAGGGCATTTGCCTTACATGTGGCCAACCCAGGTTTGATCCCTGGCATCCCATAGGGTCCCCCCGAGCACCACCAGGAGTGATTCCTGAGTGCAGAGCCTGGACTGACCCCTGAGCATCGCAAGGTAAACAAACACCAAAAACAAAAATGTAAATACAGATGCAAGCAAAACTGTAGAGCTGCAGCATAAAGGAAGCTGCAGCCCCTGACTAACGCTCCACTAGGCAGGGTCAAGGGCAAAGCAGGGTCGGCCGAGGTCAGCAGCACGAACGGAGGCGTGTGTGTCAGGGGCAGCGTGCCTGGTTCTTGATCCCCCTCCTCCTCCTCTTCCTCCTCCTCCTCCTCTTCCTCCTCCTCCTCCTCATAAGGTCCGGATCACTATCTGTCTATCTGTTGTTCCCCTCAAGTGTTTCCAGAACAAGAACCCTCACCGAGCTCCGGGCAGGCTCTTACGCTTGTTCCCGACATGCCAAGTAGGTCTATTTATTTATTTAGGTTCTGGGGCCACACCCAGCAATGCTCAGGGCTCACTCCTGGCTCTGCACTCAGGAATCACCTCCTGGAGGTGCTCAGGGGAGGAAGCCGGGGATCTGACCGGGGGTTGGCCGCGCACACGGCAAGTAGTCTTACGTGCGTGTATTCCTACTCTGGTCCCTGTCCCCTGGTGTTTAAAATGCCAGAACTGGGTCTGCTCTTTCCAGTCTGGGTTCTTCCCGGAACACACAGTGCTCATTCTGTCGGCCTTTCTCTCCCTTCACGTCGAAGGAAATTTCATCCCATTAAAATAACTCGCTTGGGGATGGAGTGATAGCACAGCGGGTAGGGCGTTTGCCTTGCACGTGGCCGACCTGGGTTCGATTCCCAGCATCCTATATGGTCCCCTGAGCACCACCAGGAGTAATTCCTGAGTGCAGAGCCAGGAGGAACCCCTGTGCATCGCCGGGTGTGACCCAAAAAGCAAAAAATAAAATAACTCGCTTGGGGCTGGAGCGATAGCGTTTGCCTTGCACAAAGCGAAACGCGGGTTCGATTCCCAGCATCCCACGTGGTCCCCCAAGCACCGCCAGGGGTAATTCCTGAGTGTACGAGCCAGGAGTACAAGCCAGGAGTAACCCCTGAGCATCGCCGGGTGTGACCCAAAAAAGCAAAATAAATAAATAAATAAAAAATAAAATAAAATAACTCGCTTGCTTCACTAAAGAACTTAAAATGATAGAAATGACACAAGACACCGGGAGGACAGATGGCGAGGCGCTAAAACTATAATTGGGGTCACGGATTATCATCCATAATGAATCCCAGGTGCCTGTAAGGTGAATCACCGGCATGCGTCATTTTAGAAAGAAAACCGCACCTTTCCTTGGGCGCCCCAGGCTCGGGGGTGGGGTGAACCTTCCATACGGGGCCCACGCGGTGCTGGGGATGGGCCCGCGGCCTCCTGCCTGCCCTGGAGCTGTGCCTGAAATGGGAGCCCACCGAAGGCTCACCCAGACCTCCTCACGCTTGGGCCCAGTATTCTGCACTAAATCCACGACTAGACGCCCGTTCTCCACGCTAAGCCACTGGCTTTCTCCTGAGCCCGAAACCGGCCTCCTAATTTAACTGAAAAAAATTAAGCAGTGTCTCCAACAAATGCTCATCACACGAGGGTGAAAAAAAAAAAAAAAGAAAAATAACAGTAATAAAGCCCGGTGTGTTGTATGGCCAAGAGGACAAACCAAGTTCGGGTGCCTGGGTCCTTCCCAGTGTCCTGCTGACAAGTAATCCGGTCACCAGGCCAATATATGCACGAAGCTGTGAGAATCCGAACTCAGATGCAGAACAGAGAAGGACTCGCTTGACATCCTCGGGGACACACACACACACACACACACACACACACACACACACACACACACACTCAGAGAGAGGACAGGAAAGACGCAGCGCTGCAGAGAGAAGGAAACGCAAGCCCCCCACCCCCCACCCCCTGGCAGGCAGCCAAAGACGCCGTGGGGGCACAGCCCCAGAGACCACACCCCGCTGACCACCCCTCCTGGCTCTCTCTGGGCGCTAGCAGCCGAGATCTTACTGCAGGAGAAAGTCAATCGTACCAGCTGATTCAAAGTACCCCAAGGCCTCCTGAGCAGGCCCATGGAACATGAGTCTTCCCGCGGCCAGTAGGGTGAGGCTATCAAACAACTTGAAGATGGAATAACGAGGCTGATGGATGGAGAAGATGATGGTTCGTCCCTGCTTAGACATCCTAAATTTAAAGCGGGGGGGAAAAAATAAATAAATAACAGATCATTAAACCGCGGAGACTGACTGGGTGCTTCTCGGCTAAATACTCGATTCCTGCCTCCGAGTGATGGGTCCCGAGCTCGATTTGGATTTCTGCTTATTGGCCTTTCAGCCCCTTCCATCTGATGGGAGACCGAGCCTCAGTGATGCTGATTTTTCAAGGACGGGGGTTTGTTACAGTGGGTACCGCAGGCAGTTAAGAATCAACTAAGACAAGAAGGGGAACATCAAACACTCTTTGGAGACGCACCAGGTGTCGGGGACCCTAATTTTCAGCACCATCCCGATATCTCGGAAGTACGCTCAAGTTTGAGGAAGTAGAAGGGACCAAGTATTAAAATGGGGATAGGAAAAGCTTTCTCAGGGGCCAGGATGCCGGCCGTGATCGCGCAAGACCCCAAATCTGAGTCTTGGGGACACATGAAACCCCCACCCCCAGCACCACTGAGTATAATCCTGGAGGGACCCGCCTTCTGGGGCACCTCCAGACTCGCACAACTCTCACACTTATATTGCTTTTCTTTGCGCAGTGAAGAATCTTATTCAAAGCAGGGAGGAGAATCAACAGGGAAGGGGCAGAGGAAGCACGTTCAAGAGAGAAGAGGGACGTTTGCGGGGAGAGGAGGGGACGGGAGCTCCCCTGCCCGTTAGGATGGCGCCGGGTGTCTGGGCCAGCCTGCAGGCTCGGCCCGAAGAGGAAAGCAAGGGATTAGCGCCACGGCGAGGGAGCAAGTGGTGGCTGGACCAATCGAGGCACAGGGGCCGGAAGGAGCTGCCGGCAGCTGCCCAAGACACAGGAGCCTCAGCCAGCGAGAGAGCCTGGGAGTACCAGGTGCTCCCCGCCAGCCCAAAGGGTCCGCCTGGGGAGGACGGTGCGGGCAGTCGGTCCTCGCTTGGACAGGTTCAGCTTCAGGTGGACTCACTAACTGGCCGGCGCCTGCCACCGTCCCTGGGTGTGATGCAGGGATGAAGAGCAGGTCCCAGGAAACACCCTCCACTCTGCAGGATGGGGGAAGAGCTGAGGCATGCCAGGCGGGAGACCCCAGGTTCACCCCCAGCGCGCGGGCCTGCCCCTCCCACACTGCCAGAGCCAACGCTGGCCACTAGCATCACCTGCCCCGGGCCTGAGAGAGAGAGAAAGGGGAAGACGAGTCAAAGGGAAGGAATCCAAAGTTCCCGAGGTGGGAGGCAAGAAAACGGGTCAGACTTGCGAGTGGTTAGGCTCCATCCACGACCGGTGTTCGATGCCTTCAACTTCAACAGGGATTGGTAAAGATCAGAGATTTCCCCAGTAAAACTGGAAAATTATTTTTTGAAGGTGACGTTCGCCAGTGGCCACAGAGGTGGTATCTATAAGGGTCTGGAGTGTTTGCCTTGGCCGTGGCCAACCTCAAGGGTGACTCCTGGCTCGATGCTCAGGAATTACTCCTGGTGGTGCTCGGGAGACCACGTGGGTGGCCAGGAATCAAACCCGGATTGGCGACCTATTGCTCGGTCCCCAACCTCAGTGCTGTCCCCTGCACCCCAGCCCTGCCAGGTGTGACCCCAAAATGGAAAATAGAGGGGCTGGAGCGATAGCACAGCGGGTAGGGTGCTTGCTTTGCACGCAGCCAACCCGGGTTCGATTTCCAGCATCCCATAGGGCCCCCCCCCCAAGCACCGCTAGGAGTAATTCCTTAGTGAAGCGTCAGGAAGAACCCCTGCGCATCACCAGGTGTGACCCCAAAAGAAAAAAAAAACACAGAATGGAAAATAGGAAGGAAGGAAGGAAGGAAGGAAGGAAGGAAGGAAGGAAGGAAGGAAGACTGAAAAAGAAAGAAATTGTCTGTTGACTGAGCAGTATCCTGATTATCTGAAAGCAAAGTTTCTTGCTGTCAAAACACACAGAAAAGGTAAAGATTATAAAGAATGAAATCATTATACTGGAACAGGAAATATTTTCGCTTGGTTGAGGGGCCGTACCCAGTAGTACCAAGACGCCAGGAGCTGACCCCAGCCCTTCCGTGAGAGAAGCTGCCCTCGGACCACGGAGCCGCCCCTCCGGCCCTCTCTGGAGAGAATAATCAAAACACAGGGATTTCTGGGTTGTACTTGGAGCGCTCTCCCTAGTGCTGGACAGATCGGGGCTGTATCCCGTGGTGCTGCAGAGGGCCTGGGTGTGGGGCTGAAATCTGGGGCCCTGGGCTGCGAGAGGTAGCCCAGCCCTTAGCGACCTCCCCAGACCACTGCTTGGGTGAGAAGGTACTAAAGCACGGCTGACAGCAGCTATAGACGTAGGTCTACATTGAAGCACTGTAGCACTGTCCTCCCGTTGTTCATGGATTTGCTCGAGCGGGCACCAGTAACATCTCACAACAAATTGTGAGACTAGCTGTTACTGTTTTTGGCATATTAGATACGCCAGGGGTAGCTTGCCAGGCTTTGCGGTGTAGGCGAGATACTCTCGGTAGCTTGCCGGGCTCTCCGAGAGGGGTGGAGGAATCAAACCCGGGTTGGTCACGTGCAAGGCAAACGCCTTACCTGCTGTGCTATTGCTCCAGCCCACGTCTACACACAGCCCTCTGCAAATGATCCATATGCCTGACGTATTTCTGTTCCATGCACACATTTCGTAGTTTTATGCTGCACTTTGCTATATACCAATCACCCACCACACACACACACACACACACACACACACACACACACACACACACACATTTCCTGAGTCTGCTACAGAAGTGAAGAGTGACAGAGAGAGTTCCCACACCGTGGCTGCTCACTCCTCCCTATACCAGAAAGAACTGAGCTTCCCCACGAAACATCTGATGGAAGAAAAGTCCAAAACGGACTCGAGGAATCTCGTGGAGCAGAGGGAGAGAGCTGGTGCTTAGGAAAGGCCTGAAGAGTGGCTGGGGGCTCGTGTCAAAATGAAATAAAATCAGGACCACCACCGGCAAACTCGATCATGCAAATCAGGACCGTTGGACAGTAGGTTCTAGGATCACGAGGGTTCATTAGCTACAAAAGACCTAACAGTAAGTGGGCACTCCTTTTCTCTGGCAGCCGGAGGGAGAGAAAACGGTGGACTTGGAGGTCAGCGTGGCAAGTCCCACACCAGCTGCTGGTAGAGTTGGGTTTGTCAGGGCGCCGTGAAACTGGGGTGCAGAAGTGCCGGGCCCCAGGTCATGGGTAAACCTGACTCCCTCCCTTCGCAACACTCAGCCAACAGAGCTCAAAGGCCTTCTCAGACACTGCCAAGCCAGCCACCGCACGGGGCCACGGAAGCCAGGAACCAAGCATCTGGGGCCAGAGCGACAGCACAGCGGGGAGGGTGTTTCCCTTGCACGCAGCTGACCTGGGCTCGATCCCCAGCATCCCATATGGTCCCCCGAGCACTGCCAGGAGTAATTCCTGAGTGCAGAGCCAGGAGGAACCCCTACGCATTGCCGGGTGTGACCCAAAAAGCCAAAAAAAAATTAAAAAATGAACCAAGCACCCTCCACGCTGCCCCATGGGATCACCAGGTGCCATGTGGTGTGTGGGGCTTGGGGCGGGGTGGGGTGGGGAGAAGGAAGGAGACACATGCTGGGCGGCTGGGGACGTGAGTGGGTGGGCTCAGAGAAGCACCCTCGCTTGTGGGGCCCACCTCAGGGTCTGGGTGCAGGGGGAGGACACAGGCGGCCCAGGGAGACCTGGGCACCGGGTCAGCAGTACACGAGTCTGGTCAACACTGCTGAAACACCCAAGGCTGGAGACTTTCGACAGAAATTCACAACATTGATTTTACACAAATGCTGGCGGCTGCGCGTGGGAATCCGCTGAGAGACGCACTGCTCGTTCCCAGTGCTCCTTCACCTCCACCCCCCTTTATTCTTTTTGGGTCATACCCGGCGTTGCACAGGGGTTCCTCCTGGCTCTGCACTCAGGAATTACTCCTGGAGGTGCTCGGGGGACCATATGGGATGCTGGGGATCGAACCCGGGTCAGCCGCGGGCAAGGCAAATGCACTACGGGCTGTACTATCGCTCCGGCTCCTCCACCCCACCTTTCTCTCTCCCTTCCCTGGGGTCCCGTCGGGTTGTGCCCTGGGTGCTTGCTAGGCCCCTGGTGCCATTTTTCCCCAGGGACAGGGACTGGCCGCCTGCCCCGCGGCTGTGGCCCCTCGGCCGCTCCACTGGGAACTTCTCACCGACTCCTGCGGCCCCTGCAGAGTCCTGCCAGGTCCCACCTGACCGCTCAGCCCCAGGCCCAGGGCTGCCCCAGGTGCTGGGAGAGGGGCACCTGGCTGTCCCTCCCAGCTGCAGCCCGCCTGCCCTCAGGACCGGCCCCGTCTGAAGAGGGCCCGGGGGCAGCTGGTTCTGATCAACAAGACCCGGGTCCTGATCAGAACAAATCCAGAGGGTCGAGGAAGCCAAGACCCTGGAGCGGGATGGGGTGGGGGGCTGGTGGGGAGCGACTCCAGAGAGCCTCCGGGACGTGACGGGGGTCCCGGGAGGTAAGAAGCCGCCCGGTCTGGGGCCCCCTTCCAGAAGTCACCAAGGACGCGCGACGCCCTGGGTTTCAGGCGTACGTGGTCCAAGGGGTACCTGGGGCCGGTCGCACGGGAGGGCCAGCCTGCCTCTTCTGCAAGGCCGTCCTGCTGCTTTGCTGGGGACGCTCCCGCCGCAGGGAACAGGGTTCCTGCCCGGGCATAGCACCCCCCAACTTCTGGACAGGTGCCCTAGTCTCCTGGTCTTGGGGCCACCCTCAGCCATGCTCAAGGGTGACTCCTGGTTCTGCACTCAGGACTCCCTCCGGGCGGCGCTCAGCGGACCATATGGGACGGAAGCCCAGTCGGCTTCGTGCAAGGGAAGGGCCCTCCCTGCTCGAAGCCCCGTGGCTCGGGCCCCGTGATCTCTGTTCTAGTTTGCAGTTCCCTAATCCTGAGTGAAGATGAGCACTTTTCTGTGTCTGTCTGCAACCTCGGCCCCCTGGGTGGGACTGGAGGACGTCCTGTGGAGTAAGGACAGAGGGACAGACAGACTCATCCCAGGACTCAGAGACACACAAGGGAGGGACCAAGGACCAAGGGCCACACAGGAGAACTGCCCGGTACCGCCCTCGGGATCCTGGTCGGGGAGGGAGAAGCAGGTTCTCTGGTGGTCAGTGCAGCACTGGAACAGGCCCACGTGCCACCATTGGTAGCAGGACAGGAAGCCACAGTGGCCCACCAGCAGAGACGGAAGGAAGAATCCCCAGCACGCCCAGCCACCGGCCTCCTGCCTCCAGCCTCTCTGAGGGTCCCATGGCCACTGGCCGCCCCCTCCAGTAACCGCCACCTCGTCCCCACCTCACACCCCGGCAGGATAATGGACACCAGGGGCATCTCCACACCAACCCGGCCAACAAACTCCTGGGAGTAGATTTGCTAAGTGACTGGCCGTTTCCCCCAAAGCCAAGGAGACAGCTTTAACTCCTGCACCAAGTGCTGAAAGTAAATCCGTGTGTGTGTGTGTGTGTGTGTGTGTGTGTGTGCACATGTGCGGGTGTGGGTGTGTGTGCGCATGTGTGTGTGTGGGGGTCATGTGTGTATGTGTGTGGGGGGCGTGTGTGTGTGTGGACATGTGTTTGTGCATGTGTGCGTTGCATATGGACATGTGTGTGCCTGTGGGGGGGCGCGTGTGTGTATGTGTGTGTGCATACATGTGTGTGCGTGTACAAGTGTCTGCATGTGCATGTGTGCGCGTGTGTGTCCATGCATGTGTGTGCACATGTGTGTGTGTATGCATGCGTGTGTGTGCGTCCATGCATGTGTGTGTGGGCTGGGAGGAGGCCGGCGCCCGCACTCACCCACCTCTTGAGTAGCATGAGTACCGCGTTGGCCGTGCTGGAGTCCAGGCCGGTGGTGGGCTCGTCCAGGAACAGGATGGAGGGGTCCGTGATGAGCTCCATGCCGATGCTGGTCCTCTTCCTCTCCCCTCCAGACACCCCACGAATGAACTGGGTCCCCACCTGGAACCAAGAGGCCCCTGAGTCCCAGCACCCCGCCACCGTGCAGGCCGGACGCCACGCAACGCCAGCCCGGAGAGAAGCACGTGCCCCCCCCTCCCCGCCTGCTAAGTGCCTCAGTTTCCCCACAATCCACCTCGGGGGGCCCCGGGCGTGGTGGCTCTGTCACCGGGTGCAGCTCAAACGACAACACCCGGGACGAAGCCCGGGCGCTGTGCTATGACCCTGGTGGTGCCCAGTGCGGGGGGGGGGGGGGGAACGCCCGTGACAGGTCCTGCCATGCACAGCCTGCCCACGCTCCTCCACCCCCCGCCCCCAGAACTCTCAACCAGACAGCAGACACCGTGGGCTTCACTCACTGCCCCCGTCCCAGACAGTATCTGCAGGGCAGCAGGCGCCGTCCCTCAACAGCTCTGCGGGGCAGTGGAAAGACATTATGGGGCGGTCAGGAAGAAAATGGCCCTCTTGGGGCTGGAGCGATAGCACAGTGGGGAGGGTGCTTGCTTTGCACGCAGCCGACCCGGGTTCGATTCCCAGCATCCCATATGGTCCCCCGAGCACCGCCAGGGGAAATTCCTGAGCGCAGAGCTAGGAGTAACCCCTGAGCATCGCTGGGAGTGACCCAAAAGCAAAAAAGAAAAAAAGAAAAAAAGAAAATGACCCTCTATTTTTTCTTCTTGCTTTGGGGGTTGTTTGGGGAGCCACACCCAGCAATGCTCAGGGGTCACTCCTGGTGTGGGGCCCGGATTACACCCAGGCCTCCAGCATGCAGAGCCTCTTGGCCCATCTCTGAACCAGGGAGACAATTCTTTTTTATTTTTTTTAATTTGTGTGTGTGTGTGTGTGTGTGTGTGTGTGTGTTTTGGGTGACACCCGGCAACGCACAGGCAACGCGCAATGCTCCTGGCTCTGCACTCAGGAATTACCCCTGGCGGTGCTCAGGGGACCATATGGGATGCTGGGAATCGAACCCGGGTCGGCCGTGTGCCAGGCAAATGCTCTCCCGGCTGTGCTATCACTCCAGGGGAGAGGAGGGCAGAGGGAGGGAGAAGGAGGGAGAAGGGGCTGGGAGGGGATCTCCACACTCATAGAGCACTGTAGCACTGTCTTCCCATTGTTCATCGATTGGCTAGAGCGGGCACCAGTAACGTCTCCATTGTGAGACTTGTTACTGTGTTTGGCATATTCAATACGTCACGGGTAGAATGCCAGGCTTAGCTGTGCAGGCGAGATATTCTCGGTAGCTTGCCAGGCTCTCGAAGGGGGAGGGAGAAATCGAACCCGGGTTGGCCACATGCAAGACAAACGCCCTACCGCTGTGCTGTGACTCCAGCCCACACTCATAAAAGAAAAAAAGAAAAAAGAAACGTACTCCTAATAGCCTGGATTATAATGATAAAATAATGGGTTTCTGAAAGGCTGCAAGCAGTTCTGGGAATTACAATAAAGGTTTAGCAACAACAACAAGAAAAATCGTAAAACAAAGAGCTTTCCTGGAGGGAATAATCCCTCACTAGCACAGAGGGAATGCTCCCTTTGTCCCCTCCAGGCGTCCCTAGTCCCTTCCTGACTTTTACGTAAGCAATGTGACAAGCATCAGCCCCACCCACCGAGTGACAGTTCAAGAGGGGCAAAGATTCTCTGCGTGCCCAGGGCCACAACTGCCTGGGGGAAGGGGAGAACCACAAAGGCACTGAAACAAGAATGCATCGGCCCCAGGACAGGTCTACGGACAGGGAGCCTGCAAGAAACGGTGGACAGACACAGTTCTAGCTGCTGCAGCAGTGTGAGAGGGCAGGGAGGAGGGGAGGGGAAGTGGGATGGGGGAGAGGCGCCAGCCCTGCGGCGATTCCCAGCACCGCCAGAGTCACCCCAAGCACAGACCCAGGACTAGCCCTGAGCACCAGCACGCCCCCAAAACGCCCTCCCCCCACCAAGAGAGCAAAGGAAACCACCGCATGAAAGGAGGCAGCACAGGGTGGTCCCGCAGAGTGCTCAGGGGACCATAGGGGGTGCTGGGAATCGAAACAAATGAACCAAACAGATGGACGCCATACGCTAAAGCATGCGAGAAAAAAAAGGAAGACGGGAAGAAGCCGGGGCCTGAGATCCCTCAGGGCTGGGGTCCTGAGGGTCATGCCCTGCACCCTAAGGTCACCCCAGCTCAACCAGAGGAAGGTCCAAGAAGCGGCGCCCAGCCAGCGAACGCCACCCCCCACTTCCTCCGAGAACAGGACCAGGAAGAGAGAATAACTGGCAGCTATCGCTGTCTGAAGCGCTCTCTGCCTGATGCTCCACCCCTGCGAACCTATCACCACCTCCAACCGGCTCCTCGGTCACCTCCTTCCTTTTCTCATCCTGCCCAACCCACCGAATCACATTACTTCTTTTTCTTCTTTTTTTTTTCTTTACGGGCCACACCTGGCGATGCACAGGGCTTACTCCTGGCTCTGCACTCAAGAACCACCCCTGGCGGTGCTCAGGGGACCATATGGGATGCTGGGGATTGAACCCAGGTCAGCCGCATGCAAGGCAAACGCCCTACCCGCTGTGCTATTGCTCCAGCCCCAGCAATACTTCTTCTGAGTCTCTTCCCCCACCACCGTACCTCAGAGAATCAGCACGCACCGGTCTGCAGGGTAACATTAGCAGAAGAGGGGCCTGGGTCATAGCACAGTGGGTAACGTGATCCCTGCATGCGGCTGACCTGGGTTTGAGCCCCCTCAACCCCAGACGGTCCCCGAGCACCGCCAGGAGTGATTCCTTAGTGCAGAGCTAGGAGGAACCCCTGAGCATCACTGGGTGTGGTCCCTTACCTTCCCCTCGCCAATACAAAGCACATTAGTAGAAGAAGAAAAGAAGAAAGGATGGGACGGGCTGGGAGACTGGAGAAGAGGCTCAGGAAGAGGCACCCCAGGGTCAGAGGGACAGGGCAGCGGGGAGGCACACAGCCAAATCAGGTTCGATCCCCCCCCATCCCATAGAGCACTACCAGGACTGATTCCTGAGTGCAGAGCCAGGAGTAACTCCCGAGCATCGCTGGGTGTGACCCAAAAAGCAAGAAAGAAAAAAAGGAAAAGGCAAGAGAAAACCAACCTAAATTAGGAAAAAACCCTCATGTGGTCAAGTTTGACTGTGGAAGAAGCCAAATCACAGTGAAATGAAAATGGCCAGAAGCCTTGAGTTCCAGAAATACAACCTCTTAAACAGGGCGACAAAGGTCCCTGGAGGAGGAAGGCTGAAAGGGCACCGCACAAAAGGGAAGGAAACCTGTTGAAGAATGATGAGGAGGGGCCAGAGCGACAGCACAGCAGGTAGGGCATTTGCCTTGCACACGGCCGACCCGGGTTCGATTCCCAGCATCCCCTAGGATCCCCCGAGCATAGCCAGGAGTGATTCCTGAGTGAACGAACCAGGAGGAACCCCTGAGCATCGCCGGGTGTGACCCAGAAAGAAAAAAAAAGAATGATGAGGAGACAGGAGAGGGGATCAACAGAGCACGCATTTCGTTACTGCGGAGAGTAGGTGCTTCGGAGGCCGACACGGCGGAGAAATTCCCAGCGCCTCATACCGTTTTGGGGTCAAGGACCGTACACCGGCGGCAACTCAGCTTTCCCCCTTACCTTGGAATCTGCCACTTTGTCGAGTCCTAACTCTTGAATAACCTTGTCAATTCGTTCGTTTTTCTCATGATTCTTCATGGTTGTCGGGAGCCGGAGGGCTGCTGAGAACTGCAGGTTCTCCCGCACCGTCAGCGTCCCCATGACGACGTCATCCTCGAGGCAAACAGAGATGCACCGAGCACGTCAGGGACTCCTGCCATCGAGTTAGTGTGCGGTACCGGCCGCAGAAACAGCGTGCCCAGGAGGAAATTGGAGCTAGTGATGAACTGGAACTTACACAAATTATGGTAACTCCATAAACAGGCTGCTAGACACTGAATTCCCTATCTGTCGAGTGTGGCAGAGACCAGGGAATTAGCAGCACCATCCTGACTTACATAAGGATTTGCCAAAGCATCTAAGGAAAGGAGGGGGGTAAATGCGCCCCCCTCCCCCCAAAAATAAGTGGGAAATAATCTCCAGGAAGTGGAAAGCTAGACTCTGGTTCCAGGAGTCAGAGCAGTACAGTGAATAGATCGGAAGGACTCTTGCCTTGCACGCGTCTAACCCACATTTGTTTGACTCCTGATTCCCGGCATCCCATTTGGTCCCCTGAGCACCACCCAGACTGATTTCTGAGTGCAGATCCAGGAGTAACCCCCGAGCATCACTGGGTGTGGCCTCAAAACAAAACAAAAACAAACTGGAACCAAGAAAGATGGTTACATGAGCATATCATGTCTCACTTGTCAAGAAGGAGAAAGAAAGAAAGAAAGAAAGAAAGAAAGAAAGAAAGAAAGAAAGAAAGAAAGAAAGAAAGAGAGAGGGAGAGGGAGGAAGGAAGGAAGGAAGGAAGGAAGGAAGGAAGGAAGGAAGGAAGGAGAAAGAAGGAAGGAAGGAAGGAAGGAAGGAAGGAAGGAAGGAAGGAAGGAAGGGGAAGGAAGGAAGGAAGGAAGGAAGGAAGGAAGGAAGGAAGGAAGGAAGGAAGGAAGAGGAAGGAAGGAAGGAAGGAAGGAAGGAAGGAAGGAAGGAAAGGAGGAAAGAAAGAAAAAAACAAGAAAGTTGCAAACCCAAAGACACTCACTTGTACCACGTAACCCGAATTACACTTGAAATTGGCAGGTCGAGGGCCTCCGTTTATCAACACATCTCCAGATAACCCATGTGGGTCTTTCCTCGCAGCCAAGACATCCAACAACCTACAGAAGGACAGAGAGGCTGTTATTCCATTTCCCCGAATCAGGTTGAGCCTCCCAATTACAGCATTCCCAATTTCACTCCAAGTTTTCAAAGAAAATTTAAGCTGGTCAGGGCCGAGACATGGGAAGCCCTGAACTCAATCCCAAGCATGGCAAAAGGTGACAACCAGATGCGTGGTTGGCCGTCGGTGGGCTCCCAAAGCAGCCCCGCACGCCCTCCCTTCCTCATCCGAGACTCCAGCCCTCACTGTCTCCTCTCCGTCCATCTTGCCCCGTTCCCTATCCCTCCAGGGCAGCTCCAATCATACTGAAGGCTACAGGCCACCCCGCCGTGCCTGCTTAGCAGAGCTGACCTAGTCGGGCCCCCTGAGGCTCGGAATAAACCCCAGCGAGTTCAAGTGCATGGTTTCCTCACAGAAGCTGACCTGCAGCCAAAGCCCAGGCAACAGCAGCTGGAGACAAAATCCCCCCAAAGCCCAGAGAGGAGAGGGACAGGAAACGCTGCCCTCCCGCCCCAGGTCATACTCACGAAGATTTGCCTCCGCCGGTGGGTCCCAGGATAGCGTTGAGGCCTGGTCTCATGATGCCGCTGTGAACACACAAACACACCCGCTGACACGGCCACTTCCGAGCCAGTGGTCCTCACGTAGAAGCCACACTGCACAGGTGCCATGAAATGAACAAACAACAAGCCTGACTCTGAAGGGGCATGAGAAGACAATGAATTTCCACTCCTCGGACTTGTAGGATGCAGTGACAGCAACGTGGATCACTCATCACCCGGTGAGGACCGAGAAGAAAAACAGCCCTACAGTCCTACCATGGGGCTGGAGCCATAGGACAGCGGGGAGGGCGTTTGTGGCCGACCCAGATTCAAGCCCCGGCATCCCATAGGGTTCCCCAAGCACCGCCAGGAGTAATTCCTGAGTGCAGAGCCAGGAGTCAGCCCTGAGCAGCACTGAGTGTGACCCAAAATAACAAAAACAAAAATAAACAAAAAAAGAATTCCTGCCACTTACTCCCTACGCCGCTGTATTGGTTGTAAAAGGAAACGCACTTTCAAGGTGAAGGGCAATATGCAACCATGTCCTTCACCTGCCCCTCTGAACACAGAGTCAAGTACAGACCAGGCCTTGAGTAATAAGGAATTGTTGTCTTCAAGTCTTCAGGTCAACGGACTCGAGTTCTACAGTGTCAAATTCTACAGGTCAGTGAATGGATTTTAGGAAAAGACACACGTGCTCCACCCAGCTCGAATCCAGTCAGACCTAGAAAGCCCTGGAAATAGTCATTTTTTGGACCACTGGGCAGGGACAAAGCCCGGACAGGACCCGGGGCCAGAGGCCAGCCCCAGCTGTGGACCCCACGGAATGCTTCCTCCATCCAGCCAGAAAACATGTACCCTGAGGACATGCCACTTCCTTCCTCAGAAAGTGCTGGATCAGCACAGTGGAAAAACCCTTCTTGTAGGAGTGAGTGGGATGTAGACTTTTCATGTGAGTTTATCTCTGAGGAGATAATAAAATCACACAATCAAAGCACCGTAGCACTGTTCTGCCCTTGTTCATTGAGTTGCTCGAGCGGGCCCAGTAACATCTCCATCGTGAGGCTTGGTTGTAACGGTGTTTGGCATATCGAATACATCATGGGGAGCTTGCCAGGCTTTGCCGTGCGGGCGAGATACTCTCAGTAGCTTACGGGGCTCTCAGAGAGGGGCGGAGGAATCGAACCTGGGTCAGCCAGGTTGGCCTCATATATGTTACAATAAAACTGGAAGTGAAACTCTGAGGGAAGTCCTTTGAAGTTTACCCAGAAGGTATTGGGGGCGAGGGGGCGAGGGGTGGGGCTGGTGAAAGGAGAATTAAAGAGTGAGTGATAATCCCCGAGGAAACAAGCCAATCTCTCTCTGGCATCCACGGGGTCAATCAGAATCTGTTCCGTAAAAAACAGTTCCATGCTGACAGGCCCCAAGTGAGGAAGCGTGGATAGCTCTCACAGGACACAATTCATTCTGGCCACACCCGTCACAGAGCTCCACACTCTCTCTCACACATACAAACACACACACACACACACACACACACATTCACACACATACACACACTCACACAAACTCACACACACATACATACATACACTCACACACATACACACACTCACACAAACTCCCACACACACACTCATACACACACAAACTCACATTCACACACACATACACACACTCACACACATACACACACTCACACACACACACACAGACTGGCCGGTGACACCGGGCGCTCTGCCAAGAGCCTGCCCCCCCCCCCCCCCGCCCCGGCAGGGACAGCCTCGCTCTTTGCTTTTTGCTGGGCTGCCTCTCTCTGAATCGATGTCAAACACAACGCAATGAACTGGAAGCTCTTGTAAACCTTCCAGGCCACTTTCCTGGAAGTAGAGAAAGAGCAGGCCAGAGACACAGCACAGCGGGGCACTTGCACGCGGCCAACCTGGGTTCGATCCCCAGCAACCCCTCTGGTCCCTCCGAGCACCGCTAGGAGTGATGCCTGCAGAGCCAGGAGGAACCCAAGTGTTGCCAATTGTAGCCCCAGAACCACCACCACTAACAGCAGAAAGAGCATCTGTACTTCCCTGAGTGACACACACTCAGCCCTCCAGATGTCCTGCCAGCCAACGCCAAGCTATCGCCACCCCGTGCTCAGGCCTGCCAGTGGCCAGCCCGCAGAGAAGGGCGTCAGCACAGCACCTCGGGGAAGGCACACCGCGACCCTAGGGTCAGACCCTGCAGCAAAGCAGCGCCACATCCAGGCTGTCCGAGGAAATGCTGCAGGCGGCACCGCACGGTCCCCGGAGGCCCACCAAGAGTGACCTCTGAGCACAGAGTCAGGAGTCAGCCCTGAGCACCGCCAAGAGTGGCTCCAAAACCAAACAAAACCAAACAGAAAAACAAAATGAAACAAAACACAAAAGTCATGCTGGAGACTGGCAAAGCAATTGCTTTGCGTGCGCCTGACCTGGGTTCAAATCCCTGGCACCCCAGAGGGTCCCCGAGCAACACCAGGGTTGATCCCTGATCTCAGAATCAGGAGTAGGGCTGGAGAAATAGCACAGCGGGTAGGGCGTTTGCCTTGCACGCGGCCGACCCGGGTTCGATTCCCAGCATCCCATATGGTCCACCGAGCACTGCCAGGAGGAATTCCTGAGTGCAGAGTCAGGAGTAACCCCTGAGCATTGCTGGATGTGACCACCCCCCACCAAAAAAAAAATGCAGTGGGACTATCAATCCCCAAAGGACAAGGAAGAGAGCAATCCCTCCCTTCCCTTAAACTACTGAAATGAGACTGAGGAGAAACTCTCTCTCCCTCTTCTCTTTCTCTCCCTCTTTCCCTCCCCCTCTCCCTCTCCCTACCTCTATCTCTCTTCTCTCTCCCATGCTCTCTCTCCCTCTCTTTCTCTCCCCCTCTTTCTCTCTCTCCCTGTTCTCTCTCTTCTCTCTCTCTCTCCCACGCTCTTGCTCTCTCTCGCTCTCTCTCCCTCTCCCTCTCTCTCTCTCTCTCTCTCTCGTTTTTTGCTTTTGGTCTACACCCCCGAAAGTGCTCAGTACACACTCCTGACAGTGCTCGGGGGACGCTACGTGGCCCCATGCTCACCCCCGGCCAGCCTGGGTGCGAGACACCCTCCCCTCCGTCCTATCACTCCCCTGTCAGCTCCCACCTCTGAAGGGAACTTCTCTACACTACATCTGCCACTGCACCTTTCCCACGGATGCCTCAGCTAGAAACGCTTAGGGAGCAAGAAATCCAACCCTCCACTGTTCATTTCAACGGACTGACTACCTGCAAGAACTGCAGCGTTCGGTCTTTGGATGCATACCGCTGAGCCATGCACAACGGTTCAGTTACTCATCTACCAGCTGTAAAATAGGACCAAGAGCAACTGACGCGCTTTCCATCCACGCCACCCGCCCAGATCCTGCTTATCTTCCGCGTATCAGCACAAAATCTAAGACTAACATCTTGAGCCTTACCCTGCGCACACACATTAAAAAAAAAAAAAAAAAAAAAAAACCTTGCCATTGTTCCATGAAGGAAAGGCCAGTCACTTCTAGTTCACGTGCAAGGCCAAAGATGAGAGCTTTGCACCTCTCCTTCCTCCTCTTCCTCTTCTTCGGGGTTTCTTGGCCAAGAACGCAGGTGCATCCCAGGATGGGAGAAGCGTGCTGAAAGTAGACTATAAACATGATGGCCACTCAATGCCTCTCTTGCAAACCACAGCACCCAAAAGGAGAGAGAGAGAGAGAGAGAGAGAGAGAGAGAGAGAGAGAGAGAGAACAAAAGGGAATGCCCTGCCACAGAGGCAGGGTGGGATGGGGGAGATGGGAGATGGGAGGGATGCTGGGACCCGTGGTGGTGGAGGATGGGCGCTGGTGGAGGGATGGGTATTCATTCGATCATTGTATAACTGAAACCCAAGCACAAAAATTTTTAAGTTTATAATGGTACCTCGTGGTGTTTCACTAATAAAAAAAGAAAAGAAAATAAAAAAACAATAAAAATGAAAAATTAATTAATTAATTTTTAAAAAAAGAAGGAAAGAAAGCAGGTGCACAGGGCATTCCTGCAGAGAAAGCCCAGACCCTCCCAGCAGAGGCCCTAGCGTGCTGGGCTGGTAAAGGTAAAGGTAAAGGCCCTCCTGTTGATCATCGATTTGCTCGAGCGGGCCCAGTAACGTCTCCATTGGAGCTGAGTTCCACTATTTCTCCCTCGCCCACTTGGCAGAAATGTTGGGCCCTGTTGGCCGTTTCCTGAGCCCAGGGGTTGCTATTGGCCACGGGTGACAAAAAGGTCCAGAGTCCAAAGATATGTAGAAGGAAAATAGCAAAACCTCTGACTGTCTATAGACCTACGGCTGCGCAAAGGCCAAAGGGCTGGTGCGTGAGGCTCCGCCCCAGGCTCAGAGAGCCAGGCACGGTTTCCGGAAGAGAGATTTCCAAACCTGCACTGTCACTTTATAGCACTGTCCTCCCGTTGTTCATCGATTTGCTCGAGCGGGCACCAGTAACGTCTCCATTGTGAGACTGGTTGTGACTGTGTTTGGCATCTCGAAGACGCCACGGGGAGCTTGCCAGGCTCTGCTGTGCGGGCGAGATTCACTCAGTAGCTTGCCGGGCTCTCCGACAGGGACGGAGGAATCAAACCTGGGTCGGCCGTGTGCAAGGCGAACGCCCTACCTGCTGTGCTGTATCACTCCAGCCCGTTGGAACGTTATATGAGAAAAACCCAATCGTGAACAACTTTGTAAATGTCTCTCACTGGGATTCAATAAAAATTGAAAAATTTTAAATCACTGTGTCACCGTCATCCTGTTATTCATCGATTTCCTCGAGCAGGACCCAGTAACGTCTCCTTCGTCCTAGCCCTGAGATTTTAGAAAGTGCCACATTTGAGGCTCTTTCAGGGTCAGGTTCAGAATGAGACCTGTCATTGTTACTGGTTTTTGGCATACTGAATACGCCACGGGGAGTTTGCCAGACTCTGCTGTGTGGGCAGGATACTTTTGGTAGCCTGCCGGGTTCTCCAGAGTAAGAACTAGATAATAAGAACCATGGTTCTTTGCATTTTCGGCCGTGTGCTTCCGGGAGCTGGGTTTTATAGTCTCTGCATCTTGGCCGTTGATGGGATTACACGGCGCCAGGGGCAGTTGGTGGGCAGAACGCTTTTTTAAAATTTTTTAAAATTTTAAAAATACTTCTTAAAATGTCAACAACTGTAGAAACTGCCATAGAAACAGGACACGAAAAGAAGTCTAGGGGACTGAGTAGTACAGGGGGTAGAGAGCTTGCCTGACCCCTGGCTGCCCGGTGTGGCCCCTGGCTCCCCGGCACCCCATATGGTCCCCCGAGCTTGCAGGAGTGAACCCGAGAGTCAGCCCAGTGTGGCCCCAAAACAAACAAACAAAAAAAATCAAGAAAGCCCAAATAAACTAGTTTCTATAGGACCCCAGGTGCTTCCCTGCCAGTATCTCATCCTTCCACCTTCCAGCTCGTTTTTTTTTTAATCTCACGTAGCACTTTTTCTAAGTGAATTTTTACTTATTTATTTTTTAATTGAATCACCATGAAATATACAATTACAAGCTTTCATGTTTGAGTTTCAGTCACACAATGATCCAACACCCCTCCCTCCACCAGTGCACGTTCCTCACCACCAATGTCCCTAGTATACCCCCCATCCCAACCCTCCCCCTGTCTCCATGGCAGACAATCTCCCTCCCTCTCTCTCTCTACTTTGGGCATTATGGTTTGCAATACAGATACTGAGAGTTTATCACGTTTGGTCCTTTACCTACGTTCAGCACACACCTCCCATCCCAACCGGTTCCTCTAACCATCACTGACTTAGTGATCCCTTCTCCATCCCAGCTGCTTTCCCCTCCCTCCCCCCCCCCCCCCCACAGCTCAGGAGACAGGCTGCCAACTATGGGGCAATACTCCTGGCCCTTGTGTCTACTGTCCTTGAGTGTCAGTCTCATATTCCATAATTTTATATTCCACAAATGAGTGCAGTCCTTCTACGTCTGTCCCTCTCTTTCTGACTCGTTTCACTTGGCATGATACTCCCCATGACCATCGATCCACTCGTAAGCAAATTTCATGACTTCATCTTTCCTAACAGCTGCATAGTATTCCATCGTGTAGATGTACCACCGTTTCTCTAACCAGAAATTGTTCTCGGGCAGTCGTGTTGTTTCCAGATTCTGGCTAGTGGGAACAGCGCTGCAGCGAACATACAGGCGCAGACGTCATCTCTCCTGTGCTTTTTACTTCCCAGCTCTTGCCCGGCCAGCAGACAGGACACATACAAGGCCCCAGCCTATGGCTGCTTCCGGGAATGCAGCAGCAACTGTGTCTCGGCCAGAGGAGAGTCCCGGGGTTATGGAGACCACAGTCTCACCCCCGGTGAAGGAGCGGAGAATCACACAGGCAGGCCAGCCAAAGGTCATCCTAAACCCCAAAGTGCACAAAGGAAACTCAAAACGCAAATGGATTTCTCACACACACACAAAGGCACATGGTTCCATCACTTTCAGAAAAGTGTGGAGGGCCAGAGAGAAAGCACAATGGGTAGAACACTTGCCTTATATAAGGCCGACCCAGGAGGGAGCCCCTCGTCCTCTAGAATCCCCTGAGCCCACGGGGAGTGGGGCAGAGTGCAGAGCCAAGAGTAAACCTTGAGTGTGGCCCAAATCCCACCTCCCTCAAAAACAAACAAACCCCCCCCCAAAAAAATATCAATCTGCTCATCACTCCAAGCTCTGCCCAAACCCCAAAGCACCCACACTGAGTCAGCGCAGACTGATGCCAAGTGCTCGGAACCTGTGAACTGTACCAGGAGAACCCCGTGGACTTTGCCACACGACAGTAATGCTGCGTGGATGAGCATTCAGGTCAGAGACGGAAAGACAGGTCAGCAGGGAAGGCGCCTCCCTCGCACGCGGTCACCCGGGGTTCAGGGTCAGGCTCTGAGCACGGCTCCTGAGCAGCTCTGGAAGCGGCCCCGAGCACAGAGCTAAGAGTGGCCCACCTGGCATAGAGTGCACCCGGGTTTGATCCCCGCATCCCATAGGGTCCTCCAAGCACCGCCAGGAGTGATTCCTGCGTGCAGAGCCAGGAGGAACCCCTGAGCAGCGCCGCGCGTGACCAAAAAAAAAAAAGCAAAAATAAATAAATAAATAAATTTTAAAAGAATAATAAATAAGTAAAAGTGGCCTGAACCCCCCCCCCCCGCAAAAAAAAAAATACGGTTATATTTGGGTGGGGAGTCAACAGGAAAGGGTATTTCAAAGTGACATTCCAGAAAAATGCTGATCTCAACTAATCTGAAGGCATAAACTATTTATAGCATATTTGTATATTATGGTATCATACATACTATATATATAATAGTATAGTATATACTATATTGAAGTATACTATATATATTATAGTATATGGGCTAGAGCGATAGCACAGCGGGTAGGGCATTTGCCTTGCCCACGGCTGACCCGACTGACCGGGGTTCAATTCCTCCGCCCCTCTCGGAGAGCCCGGCAAGCTACTGAGAGTATCTCGCCCGCACGGCAAAGCCTGGCAAGCTCCCCGTGACGAATTCGATATGCCAGACACAGTAACAAGTTTCACAATGTTACTGGGCCCGCTCAAGCAAATCGGTGAACAACGGGAGGACAGTGACAGTGACAGTGATTACAGCATATATACTACATACTATATATTATACTATATAATATAATATGGTTAACAACAAGTTTCACAATGTTACTGGGCCCGCTCAAGCAAATCGGTGAACAACGGGAGGACAGTGACAGTGACAGTGATTACAGCATATATACTACATACTATATATTATACTATATAATATAATATGGTTAACAACAAGTCTCACAATGTTACTGGGCCCTCTCGAGCAAATCGATGAACAGTGGGAGGACAGAGACAGTGACTGTGACAATATAGTATGGTATATTATTTACAGTATACTTGTTGGAGAACTTTCAAGTTATTCTTAGAAAACTTAGCAGTGTAACAACAGCAAAAGTGGGGCTGGAGCGATAGCACAGCGGGTAGGGCAGTTGCCTTGTACACAGCCGACCCGGGTTCGATCCCCAGCATCCCATATGGTCCCCCGAGTACTGCCAGGGGTCATTCCTGAGTAACCCAGGAGCACTGCCGGGTGTGACCCAAAAAGCAAAATAATAATAATAATAATAATAGTAATAATAAAATAAAAATTAAAAAAAAAAACACAGCAAAAGTATGTTATATCTATCTGGCAGACCTGTCTTCTATTTTCTTGAGAGATTCTAGAAGACAGAAGATCAAGAAGATTACAGTACTAGAGAGAAGACTCAGAAGCCTGGGGACACCGAAACACCCAAGCCCCAAGTCACCCAGCAGACGCTGAAGCTTGAACGCGACCTGGACCACCACAGTTGAACTTCGGGACATATTTACGTGACAAGATCTTGGACCAACAGTAGTCCAGGGTGCTGGGAAGATACCCCAAGTCCTGGAGTGACACGCAGGACGGGGAGGATGCAGGGAAAGAGGAAAATACGAAACCCCCACTCCTCCAAAAAATGTACTGAAATCCTTGGGCCGGAGCGGTGGTACCACGGGCAGGGCCCTCACCCTGTCTTGTGGCTGAGCCCAGTTCAGCCCTGGGCACCCGGAGGCCCTCTGAGCATTGCCAGGTCTGGCCCCGAAACCAAGAAAATAAAAGTGAATAAAATACTGAGATGAAGTTTTGCCACAACTAGACGGACGCTTTGGTTTTAGAAAATCCTCTTTTCCATGGATATTTCTTTTTCTTTTTTGCTTTTTGGGTCTCACCCAGCGATGCTCAAAAATTACTCCTGGCTCTGCACTCAGGAATCACTCCTGGCGGTGCTTGGAGGACCCTCTGGGATGCCGGGGATTGAAGCTGGGTCAGCTGCGTGCAAGGCAAACGCCCTACCCACTGTGCTATCGCTCCAGCCCCCATCCAACAGATATTTCTGACACCCAAAATACTCTAGAACCAAATGAAGATGGAGCGACCCCTGACTCAGGCAGGGGGTCCTGAACACCGGGCGTGCGCCCTGCCCACACACACACACACACACACACACACACACACACACACACACACACACACGACACAAAACACGCGTGCAGGGGAGCGGCCGTACTTGACATTCTTCAGGATCTCCTTCTCCACCGTCTTCCGGCTGAACAGGAAGCCGCTCTTGACCTTCACCCGGTAGTGGATGTTGTGGAAGCTCAGCACGTCACCCGCGGGCAGCGCCTTCGTGTCGTTGGCACCGGTGCCGGGCCGGGGGAGGCCGTTGTTGTTCCTCTGGGACATGGAGATGCTGACGTGGTCGCTGCTGACAGACATCCCGGAAGCCGCTGCTGCCTTTCTGTGGAGGGAGACCCCGTGAGTGCTTGGAGCTCAGGGAAGGGCACGGGCACCGATGCCCACCCCGCAGAGCCCACCTGGGCCCCTGCTCTCATGACAAGGAGGATGATTTTATAGGTCTCAGTTTTTTTTGTTTTTGTTTTTGTTTTTTTTGCTTTTTGGGTCACACCCGGCGATGCACAGGGATTCCTCCTGGCTCTATGCTCAGGAATTATCCCTGGCAGTGCTCAGGGGACCATATGGGATGCTGGGGATTGAACCCGGGTCTGCCGTGTGCAAGGCAAACACCCTACCCGCTGTGCCATCACTCCAGCTCAATAGGTCTCAGTTTTGATGACTGATTCCGCGCCAGGCTCTGGGGCGGGTGAGCGCCCTCCCCACCCCAAGGGACCCACCCCGGCAGCCGACCTCCACTGTCCAACCACCGCCACGCTCCAGGCCACCTTCCGGACAAATTATAAGACACTCCCTACCCATTTATGCCTCTCGGAGAGCCCGGCAAGCTATCAAGACTATCCCATCCGCACGGGCAGAGCCTGGCAAGCTCCCCGTGGCGTATCCAATATGCCAAATACAGTAACGACAACGGGTCTCATTCCCCTGACCCTGAAAGAGCCTCCAAATGTTGGAAAAAGAAGAGTAAGAAGAGGTTGCTAAGATCTCAGGACTAGGAGGAATAGAGACGTTACGGTGTCTGCTCGAGTAATCCGCCGATCAACGGGATGACAGTGATACAGTGATAACAGTTTTGATGAACTGTGTGAAAAGTCTTTCTAGACTTGATTCGGGCACAGACTCACGGTTATGGAATGTGTGTGCGCTGGGGGTCGAAGGAGCGGCCGTGCGGTGGCCACTGTGAAGGGACAAGGGACAACAGACGGGGTACCGTGAGGAAGCTTGTGTCCTATGTGTGTGAGGTCCCTGGCACCCATAAGGAGGAAGAGGAGGAGGAGGAGAAGCAGAAAGAGGAAGAGGAAGAGGGAGAGGAGAAGGAGGAGCAGGAAGAAGTAGGAAGAGGAAGAGGAGGAGGAGGAGGAGGAGGAGGAAGCGGAGGAGGAAGCGGAGGAGGAAGAGGAGGAAAAGGAGGAGGAGGGAGGGAAGAGAATACTGTTAATATATTTGAAAGTTGCCAAGAGCTTAAACGTTGTCATCATTTGGGGCCTGAGAAATCTAGCAGGGAAGGTGCTTTTCTGGCACCTGCCCAATCCCCGGGTTCGATCCCCAGCCTCCTGGACAGTCCCCGAGAACCACCAGGAGAAAGTCCTGAGTGCAGAGCCAGGAGCAGCCCCTGGGAAATACAGGGTGCAGTCCCCAAACAACTGTCACTGTCACCGTCCTCCCGTTGTTCATCGATTTGCTCGAGCGGGCACCAGTAACTTCTCCCTTGTGAGACTTGTTGTGACTGTGTTTGGCACATCGAACACGTCATGGGGTGCTTGCCCGGCTTTGCCGTGGGAGCGGGATACTCTTGGTAGCTGGCTGGGCTCTCTGAGAGGGGCGGGGCAATCGAACCCGGGTCAGCCGGGCCAGCTGCGTGCAAGGCAAATTCCTTACTGCTGTGCTATTGCTCCAGCCTGCCCCCCCAAAAAAGACAAACAAAAAGTTGTCATTCCCAAAAAAGGTTTGTAATCGTGTTGAATGTTAATGAGGCTTATTGTGATCATTGTGTAGCAGACACAAATACTAAATAATTAGGATGTACTTCCCAAAGCAATATTATAAGTCATTATATGCTTTAAAAAGAGATGAAAGATGGCCACTCCTGCCGGTGGGTGCTCAGGGTGTACCCTGGCATGGTTGGCCCTGGGGGGTGGTCCCTGGTGGTACCTGGGGGTTGAGGGCAGAGCGCGGACTCCCTCAGAATCTACAGCCTGTTGAACCATCTCTCTGGCCTGACATCTAATTTATTTTAACATTTAACAGCTTTTGAGGTGATGAACGTTATTCAACTGATTCTAGACACCAACTTGCATTGTGTGTGTGTGTGTGTGTGTGTGATTCTTATATCCCTCAAACCATGTTATATTCTAATAATCAATAAAACAGGGAAAAGGACTGGAGAGATAGTGCAGGGGGGAGGGCATTTCCCTTGCATGCAGCTGACCGGGTTTTGTCTTGGCCATCCCATATGGTCCCCGAGCACCGCCATGAGTGATTTTTGAGTGCAGAATCTGGAGTAACCCCTGAGTACCATCACTGGCCAAAAACAACAACAACAACAACAAAATGGCAGTTACCATTATTTCACGGAACCAATTATACCCAGGATCTGCATTAAGGCCAGGCCAACTTGGGAAGGGCTTTGCCAGTGAGAGCCCCCCAGGTCCAGCCCCTCCACTAGCGAGGTCCAGACAGTTGGGGGTAGCCCCAGAGCACCCAAGGGCTCAGTCCCCGCACACCAGCACCCAAACATGTGCAGCCACCCACGGCAGCAAACGGAAGGGCAGAGTAAGAACTGAAGTTCAACTAATCCGCCTGCGACTAGGTTCGAACCCAAGCCGTCCATATACCTAGCTTTATTTTAATTTTTTTCTGGGCCACACCTGGAGGTGCTCAGGGCTTAACCCTGGCTCTACACTCAGGGAGCACTCCTGCTGGACATGGAGGACCACACGGGATGCCGGGGATCGAACCCTGGCGTACCGCATGCAAGGCCAGCACCCGCCCTCCCCGCTGGACTATGATTGCTCCAACCCCTCATTTTTTAAAGTCAAAGTAACCCCAGGAGAACTCTGGCTCTGCTCCGAGGGAATAGTTGTTCCAAACCAACCATCCTGTGAAGAACAACTAACAGTACCTGGAGATAAAACACAAGAATCAATTGTTTGTTTGGGGCCGGAGCAAGGACGCCAACACAGGCTTTGCTTACGAAATGATGTGCCCCACCCCCCAAAAAAATGTTTAAGGAAACAAACTAGAAGGCATATTACCACCCCAAAATCCCGGATCTACTTGGCAAAGAGCATCGGTGAACCGGGACACGGCCGTGTAGGAAACGTCCGGAAGAAAGGAAGGATGAACACTGTTACCACGACAAAGAACAACAACATCCCCCCCCGCCCCCCCTTCCTCTGGAACCTGACTTTGAAGGTGTGGTGACCAGGAGACCCCGCAGACGGGGAAACGGAGCCGGAGGAAGGAATACTGCTGGCCAGGGAGCTTCCAGAAGTGACACAGGTAGCAAGATGCTGAGAAAGAAGCTCAAAGGGACACAGCAGGGTATAAATACAAGGAAACCACTTTATGGTTTATTACGATAAAAACTGCCCCCCGCCAAAAAGAACAATAACCTCTAAATACTATGACCACTGCTACTTTATTATTTATTTACTTATTTATTTTTGCTTTTTGGGTCACACCCGGCGTTGCACAGGAGTTACTCCTGGCGCATGTACTCAGGAATCACTCCTGGCGGTGCCCAGGGGACCATATGGGATGTTGGGAATCGAACCCGGGTTGGCCGCATGCAAGGCAAATGCCCTACCCGCTGTGCTATCGCTCCAGCCCCGACCATTGCTACTTTAAAAGGGTGATAGGAAGAGAAAATTAATTCACGGTTGGCACCACAATTTTTTTTTTAATTTTATTGAATCACCATGGGACAGTTACAAGCTTTTGTGTTTGGGTTACAATCACACAGTGATCAAACACCCATCCCTCTGCCAATGCACATTCCCCACCACCAATGTCCCTGGTATAACCCTCCCTTTCCCACCCTCCCCCTGCCTCCATGGCAGACATGATTCCCCATAATCTCTTTCTACTTTTGGGCATTATGGTTTGCAATACAGACCCTGAGAGGTTATCATGTTTGTTCCTTTATCCACTTTCTGCACACATCTCCCATCCCGACCGATTCCTCAAGCCATCATTTTCTTAGTGATCCCTTCTCTATTCCAGCTGCCTTCTCCCCTTTGCTCATGTGGCCGGCTTCCAGCTATGGAGCAATCTATCTGTCGGTTGGCACCACAATTAGGGGTGCTGGGCTGAGTCTAATCCTGGACACAATGAGTAGCAGTGAGCCTAAGGTCTGCTCTTCTGCAGAGCTGGGAGCAGGGGGTCGGGGGGGGGGGGGGGTGCTCGGGTCCTACCTAGTTGGGCTCCCGACTTCATCAACCCCTTAAGTTGTCTTTCGCTGTCCTTGAAAAACAAAGCAGGGTCTCTCTCTGCCCTTGGAGAAGTCCAGGCTCTCTTTACAGCCTCTTAATAGCGTTACTCTCTCTCACTCTCTCCCCCTCCACACCTTCAAACCCTCCAAATAAAATATTTTACTTCAAAAAAAAAAAAAAAGCAAGGGGGCTGGAGCGATAGCTCAGTGGGGAGGGCGTTTGCCTTGCATGCAGCCAACCCGGATTAGATTGCCAGCATCTCGTAGGGTTCCCGGAGCACCATCAGGAGTAATTCCTGAGTGCAGAGCCAGGAGTAATCCCTGTGCATCGCCGGGTGCAATCCAAAAAGCAAAAAAAAAAAAAAAAAAAAAAAAAAAGTCTCTAAAGAAAGAAGGAAAGAGGGCTGGAGCAATAGCACAGTGGGGAGGGCGTTTGCCTTGCACACGGCTGACCCGGGTTCGATTCCCAGCATCCCATATGGCTCCCCGAGCACTGCCAGGAGTAATTCCTGAGTGCAGAGCCAGGAGAAACCCCTGAGCATCGCCGGGTGTGACCCAAAAAGAAAAAAAAAAAGCAAAGCAGGCCTAGAGAGCTCCACACCACAGGGAGGGTCCCTGCAGCCTCAGGGCACCCGGCCCTAGCGTGTGAGGGACAGCAGGGCCCACCCCCGAATGCCAGGGGTCACTCCTGACTAGAGCCAGGAACAATCCCTGAATGCCAGTGTAGCCCCTCTGTAGGAACAATCCCTGAATGCCAGTGGGGGCCCCAACCTCACCCCACAGCACTCCCCTCCCTGCCCCCAAAGAAAAATAAACCAAATAAGCCAAAAGATGCACGCGCACACGCACACACACACACACACACACACACACACACACACACACACACAATG